GTTACAAAAATCATGAAAGGTGAAAAAGAATTATTATCTAAGTACATAATTATATTATATAAATAATTAATTAAAATTTAAAGTATATAGGTTTTGGATATAAAAAAGAATGTTATAAAAGATTAAATAAAATAAAATTTAAAATATATGAGTTTTGAATTACATGGTAAGGTATTGAAAAGAGTGTTAAGAGAGTACGTGAAAGACAATTATTCTTTGAGAATTGAATTCTATTATATATTACATAATATTTATGTAGGGTATAAAAATGGTGTTAAAAATATTAAAGAAAGCATGTGAGAGAATAATAGAATTATATTATAAAAATAATTACATAATATTTATATAGGGTATAAAAAATGGTGTTAAAAATATTAAAGAAAGTACGCGAAATTGAATAGAATTATGTTATATAAATAATTGTTTTCTATAGTGAATCAATGTGAATGGTAACCAAAATGCTATATCCGTGTTTAAAATATATTAGATAGCATTATATTTTTTTATTTTTTTTGAATTTGTTCCATGTAATTCATTTTCATTAATAACAACAAGCAACAAAATATATATGAATCAATTTAAATGTAACAAAAAAGGCTATTTGTCATGTTTAAAATATTGCAGGTAAAATTGTATTTTTCACAAATTTGTTCTATTACCTTATTTTCAGACGCAGAGAAAGATTACGAAGAGGAGTCTAAAAAAATTGTAGAGAGGCCCTAGAGAAATCGCAGAGAGAATCTCTAAAAGAGATAACGCGATTATATAAGGGTAGAGTAGTCATTAAAAAGTTATTTTTTAAACTCAACCACTTACCGTCTTCTCCGATAAGTGATAAGTAACATTCTCAACATTTAAAATTTTTGTCTCTCTTAAATGGTACTTACTATGTTAAGCGGTGTCATAATATTTTATCAAACAAACTTATTTTTAAAAATCACTTACCGTGTTTTGCATTCAGTGCTGAATTGGGAAATCAAAGAGGTTAAGCGCTGAAATTTTAAATGTTGAATGTATTAATTTGAATACCTGTTTAATAATGTTTTAGTTTTAAGTACTGAATTCATTAATATTGTTTGTTATATACAAAAGCTGAATCATGGAAGTTGTGTAGATTAAATTTTCGCCCTCAATATATGGTACTCACAACAATTTAATATTTATTATATAAAAATATTAATAAAATAATCACATTAATTCACTCAATGAAATATATCAATTTAAAAATGAATAATAATGTCAAATAATCATAAAAAAATAAAATTATTATCTAGAAATAGAATTATATTATATAAATAATTGATGAAAATTTAAACATTTAGATTTTGGATTACATAACATTTATGTATGTCCAAAATGGTGCTGCAAAGATTAAAGAAAGTAAAATTTAAAATATATAGGTTTTGGATTACATAAAATTTTTGTTAAATTATTATGTAAGATATTGAAAAAGGTGTTACAAAGATTAAAGAAAATAAAATTTAAAATATATTGATTTTTGATTACATAATATTTATGTATGGTATTGAAAAGGATGTTACGGTGAAAGTACTTGAAAAAAAAAAATTATTAGAAATATAATTATATTATATAAATAAGTGATAGAAAATTTAAATTATATGGGTTTTGGATTATACAATTATATTTACATACCGTATCGAAAAGAATGTTAAAAATATTAAAGAAAATAGGTGAAAAACAATTATTATCTAGAAATAGAATTATATTATATAAATATTAGTGTTGAATCAATTTGAATGGGTAACCAAAGTGACGTGTTTATAATATAATACGTGCATCGAAATTCCAAAGAGAATTTTAAAGAAATTACAAAGAGAAGTCTAGAGAGAGCACGATTATTTGATGGTAGAATAGTCATTAAAAAATAATTTAAAAACTTAATCACTTACCGTCTTCTACAATAAGTAATAACGCATTTATTTTTAAAAATTACTTACCATTTTCTACATTTAACGCTGATATAAGAAATCAAACAGGTAACAATTGTCGCTTAAAATTTCGCTTTTGTGTATTCCATTTAGTTCTACATAAATGTTGAATAAATCAACTGTGTTTAGTGACTCAATGTAATCAGCACTCAAAACAATACGTTTCACTTAAAAATAATTATTATGTTTAGTTAGGGGATGGTAGAAAGCATGGATGAGTCATTAGTGATATACATACATACATACATATACATATACATATACATATATATAATATATTGGTTGGAATTTGGAAGGAAAGGGGAGTGTTTTTACATTTTTTTACCGATATACCCTCGCGAGAAAGATTGCTATTATTTTATTAACATTTAAAGGAATTTTAGTAGTGTTATCAGAGGAGTGTTTTTACAATTTGTGTGATAGTTTTTTTGAAAAAAAAACCTTCAATTATCACAAAATACCATACTAAAGACTTAAAATTCAAGTGTACAAAAATTATTACCCCATAAATTTAAGAATTTCAATTTCATTGTTTTGTGTTTTCAATTTTATCAAACAACAGTGCAAAAAACAATTCTTGAAAATTCTCCATTTAAATTTTGATTTAGTATGCATCACTTAAAATTTTATCTCATTTTTATTTTAATTTATTTAATCATGTGATAAATAAATTGTTTGTAAATTGCACTTGATTTATGTATAATTAAGTAGTATTTGATTTATCAAAGAACACTCACCTTTTAATTGTAAATTTATGTGTAAGGTAATTAGTGATAAGTAAAATTACTTGAATATTATTATGTTTTAGGTGGAACGTATTCTTTTAACATATTCCTTTAAATGATGTTTAAATTGTGTTTTTAAAATCATTTAAAGGAAAAGAAAGGAAATGGAAGTGTTTGGAAAGATATAACTGAGGCTTGAAATGTCAGTTATGTAATTTCTTTCAAAAATGGGAGGAAATTAAGGGAAAGGGAATGAAAAACTAAGAGCATCTCAAACGGTTGTATATATATATATATATATATATATATTTGTAAACAGTGGCAGAGCTATAAATTAAATTTAGGTGTAAATTTTTTTTTCTTCAATAAACATGATAATAAATATAGATTCTTCAAATCAAGAAGTAAAGAGTTGAGTAATTTTTCTTCTTTACTTATTGATTTGAAGAATCTATATTTATTATCAAAAATTTTAAAAAGGAAAGAAAAATGAGAGAACTTTGAAAGGGAAAAGAATTGAACTTTGATTCAAAAAGGAAAATTTGACTCTTTTTTTTTAAAGAAATTAAACAAATTTAAAGAGTAACATAGTGGAGAAATACAAAATTTAAGAGATAATTTTAGAAACTAAATTTTTTAGTGGGCCATTATATGAATTTTTTTACATATACATATAAAAATACATATTATAGTAAGCGGGATTAGGCCAGGGGCACGTGCCCCTTGGGCATACACTAGCTTTGCGCCCCGGTGTAAATCTAATGTGTCATAGATTTACAAAAAAAAATTGAACTACTTTTTTTTAGCTCCACGGATTATTTTCTAGTAACAACCAACCACGTTTTATGCTCAAGACTCCACATACTAAATATAGAGTTGGTTTGTTGATGGAATGAGAAAGAGGGAGGAGAAATTAAATATGTTAATGTGGCTGTGTAAAAAGATTGTGCAAAATACACAGCAATTTTATACATTGGTGAGGTGGCAATGTATTTTAACATAATGCTGGAGATAAAATTGTATATATTTAATGCAAAATAATTTTTGAACACAATGCCCGGAGATGCTCTAACATTTTTAATAAAACTTTGTTAAAACTAAATTTACCTTTACTTTTATAAAAGACAAAATCTAGGAAAATTTGTATGATAGTAAATTTATTTAAATAATTTCCACCATTTATTTCCCTAAATATGATTACTATCATTTCATTTACTAATGAACCAAGCACGACGAGTGATTAACAATATCCTCTAATTTTCTTTATTTTATTTTATCTTCTATCTAATATTATCATTTCATTTCTTTTCCACTATACTGTACCAACTCAAGCACAAGCCATTAATTATTTGTCTTAAAAACTATTGACACAAATATGTTTGACAATTAACTATAAAAAATTCAAGATCACATAAATATATATATATATTTGGAGTGGGACATGACAAGTTTCATCATGCAGTTAGTAACACATATAATCTGTAATACTGACATATTATTACACGTGTTATAAAAAAATTTCCCTGCTTATTTATGAAAATTAAAGTGTCAAATGAAAAACATGCCGATGGAGAAAACATTGGTGATTTAGGGTTTTACCACAAATATGCTCATTTGTTGAAATGTAATTAATTATTGTATCAGTTTTGAGGATTGGTTTATTAGAAAAAAACATTGGTAATACTAATATCGTATATTGGTATCTAGAGATTTGATATATATCTACAAAAGAACCACTCATGTCATGTATTAGTGTGATTGTTTTGTTACCTTTCATTGGATCTCATGGTCACACGTTTTCCTTACCACAATAGTAATTGGCAATTAATATATTCATTGTTGAAATCAATAGAAAAGTTAATAATTTTATATATGGCGAGTCATAAGTAATATATATAATAAAACAATGCGTGTAAGGATGAATTAATTCAACTATGTAATTATTCACGCTTTTTTTGAATTATATATTTACAATTAAAACATATAATACAATATCTATATTTTTTGGCAGGTATGAAAGAAAAAGAAAAAGATATCTAAACATTTCTATTATAATTGAAATAAATGTTGAACTTGTAGATATTAAAGGTAAAAGTTAATCTATTAGGTGGAGTAACCCATGTCCCATATAAGGCAGAGCCGGCCCGGGCCCAAGGTGACCAAGTGGTCGCTTGGGTCTCAAATGTTAGAGGGCCTCAATCAAATTTTGAGGCCCATAGGGGATGCAAAAAAAAAAATTTAAGTTAGGACAAGTCTTGGTCGCCTTGGGCCTCAAATTTTAGACGCCTCAAATTTTGAGGCCCATAGGGGATGAAAAAAAGAGAAGTTAGGGCAAGTTTCAGACGACACAGTCTGCTTCGACACTCCGCAGGGCGCAGCCTCCGCTATCGCCTCAGGTGACAAGGTATGTTCATCCTCTCTCTCCTTTTGCATGAATCGATCTTTTATATATGTTTCTTTCTTTCGTTCATCTCATCCTTTGATTTGTTCTAACTTTGGTTCGTTTGATTCGGGCCTTTACCTTTGTTCCAATACTGAAAAGTAGCTTCCAAACTAGGGGTTTTTCGTGTGTGTGTCACTGTGTATGATGGCTATCAATAGCTGAATGAATATATTATGGCTCTCTTAGTATTTTAATAAATGTGTGCCTTTCTACATGTGTCTTTCATGGCGATCGAGTCCATAATCTATGGCAGGTACTTTTTTTTTTTTTTTTTTCCTCTCCCTAATTCCACTCCAATCTCACAACAGCAGCAACCATACCCCTTTTCCTCAAAATTTTTTGCATTTTCACATTCAATCCTACGAAAATTAAGAATCCCTTCCGGTGGGTTGAGCCGTTGAGGTAATAATTAACTTTTTCGATCTCTAAATTATGCTCATACTTAAAAGTGCCAATTTAAGGGTTTTTTTTTTTTTTTTTTTTTATATTTTATTTTAATATGAAGATACATACCACCATTATTGATGTTCTGTGAAGTTGGCTCAGCTAGAATTTCAGTTAATTATACTGTCAAAGCACTTGCCATCAGAATGTACAAACACATGGAAATCATGAGCAGGCTTTAACAAAACAAAAGTTAATGGTTTTTCTATTAATTTGCACAGGTCTTCTGTAGCAATGATCAACCAATCACTGCTACTAAAGTTGATTCCTCATCCTGAAATCAAGAAAGGTGTAATTGGCTCCCAAAAAATACAAACACAAAGTGTAGTGTAGTTAATATAAAGAGTGAAAGACAAAACTATATATGATAGTGGATGCCACATATAATCTAAAAGTCCCACTACTTCTTCAGTACTACAAGTTCAGCCTCCTATAATATATATAGTCACCTCATCTCCACATGTTTTTGTCATCTGTAATCATCAAATTTTAGTAGCTATATAAGCAATGAATGTAAAAGAAGCTGCAGTTTTCTGTTCTCTAGTAAACTGTTCTCTTCATTTTTTATTTTGTGCCTGCGAAATTTCGCACTCTTTAATTGATAGATTTATTGTTATTAGTTAGCTGACTTATGCACACTGTACATGCGCACAATTATTTATTGGTGGTGATAGATTTATAGTTATTAGTTAGTTGTCTTATGCAAACTGCACATCGCACAATTATTTATTGGTGGTGATAAAAATTTATAGTTATTAGTTAGTTGTCTTAAACACACTGCACATGCGCACATTTATTGGTGGTGATAGATTTATAGTTATTAGTTAGTTGTTTTATGAACACTGTACAGGCTCACAATTATTTGTTCGTGGTGATAAATTTGTAGTTATTAGTTAGTTGTCTTATGCACAATGCATAGGCGCACAATTATATTAGCTATAGAATTCGAAAACATTGTGTGAAAATTTCGCACTCTTATAATTTTTTTTTTACGCGTGTGAAACTTAAGGGCCTAACATTTGAAAGTTCGCCTAGGGCCTCTCAAAATATTTGGAATCTCAGAGCCGGCCCTGATATAAGGTCTCATATTTTCTTATTTTTTAATCGATATGGAACTTGTTCAACTACCCAACAACCCCCTTGAACGAGGCTCACCCCGGTGGATAGAATGTCACCGGTCTTTCCATCTTCCCGATAGTTAGGGGATCTAGAGTCCACATGCGGTTTTTTGGGACATTGCTTTGATACTAGTTGTTGGACTTGAGAATATCCAACCCAAAAAGTTAACCTATTAGGTGGAGTAACCCTTGCCCCATATAAGTCCCAAATTTACTTATCATGTGGGATTCATTTAACTACCCAACAATAGATAATACAAGATTCATTCTTTTGGCAAGTATTTTATATATATATATATATATCTAAACAAATAAGATACAAATTTGTAAATGACTCTTCTAATTTCATCGAATATTGAAATATTATTGAAAAAAATAAAAAAATAGTAACACAAATAATAATTATTGTAATGTATATAAACAAATTATATATAATTGTCATATTTTTATGATTTACATTTTTTATGTTGTGTTTTTTTAAGAAAAAAAATTCAAATTATACCCATATTATTTTAAACTATTTTTCACAATTAAAGCATCCCAATCATTAATTTTTTCAAATTATCATTGTTGTTATTATTATTATTATTATTATTTATTGGATAAATTACACTAACCTCTCATCTAATTCTGATTAGAGTAATATTGAATTATCTTGTCATAAAATCTGACAGTCTTGTATGTTTTTATTGTCACACCTGAAAAATTTAAAAATTCAAAATTTCCCTTCAAATGTTTGAAATATATTCTGCGACTTATGTCTAGGGATGAGAATTTGACCCGCCCCGCCCCGTTTTTGGCGATTTTGGGATACCGTTTAGCTTATTTGGGTGGGGATGGTTTGATGTAATAAAAACCCGCGCGGATTTGGTGTGGGGGCGGGGGAGATCGCCCCGCCCCGTTTAGATAGACAAATTACTTAAGTACCCATTGTTATATATATTTTCCAGTATATATATTAAGTATCCTATATAACAATATTAAAGTAACAAATGAATTTGATTAGAAGGAAAGTTGCAATGGTGAAAAATTGAAGATGAGGGAAAAAAAAGAGCAAATCTATTTAAATAATAAATAAATTATGGTCTTAAACGGGCCAGGGCAGGTACCCGCGAGGGTAAAAATGTTAAACGGTTGTAGGGATGGGGTGGAAAGTCTCCTGTATTTGCAGTTTTGGGCGGGAACGAGAGCAGGGTTTTTAAACGGTTGTGGGGGCGGGGAGGGTACACCCGCCCAAACCCGCCCTGATGCCATGCATTGTAATGGTAAAAGTACAATGATTATAACACCAGGAGGTGAATGTTATTTTTAAAATTATAAAGGAGATGCTTGTTATTTAGGCATTATATGGGGAGGTCAGTGTAATTTCCAATCTTTTTTGAACTATTGTTTTATTTTCCAATCTAGATTGTGTCAATGTTTGAAGCATTTCTCTGAAGAATAGGTAGAAGAAATTGGAGGGAATGTTTGGAGATGCTCATGAACAGGTGGTTGTGTAGGCGTTTCTTCTGCACAGCTTCTTCTCCACAGCCGTGGCTCTTCGTGGGCTTGGGCAACCCAGGCGATAAATACAGAGGAACAAGACACAATGTAACCCCCACAATTTCTTTCTTTCTTTCTCGCAAACCCTAATTTCAGCTCTGATTTCTCATCACAACAATTTTACTTTGGTTTTCCTTTTGCTTTCTTGAATAAACCCAGGTAGGGTTCGGCATGATTGATGCGTTTGCTCAATCGCAAGGGATTTCAATGGACACAGTTCACTGCAAAGCTCTTTTCGGACAAGGCCTGTATTACACTTCACATGAATCATCCTCATTACATACATATATATATATATGTGTGTGTGTGTGTGTGTGTGTGTGGTGTTGTTTATGCAAATTTACGGGTTTTTTGTATTCAATTTCAGGTTTTGTTGGTGATGTTCCTGTTCTCCTTGCAAAGCCACAAACATACATGAATTTGAGTGGTGAATCTGTATGTGACCCATGTGTCTGTTCATCATTACTAAAATTATGTTCTTTCTGATATAGTACTCAATTCGTTTCTCGTTATTTGTCCTGCTGATTGTTAACTGGTTGAGCTATATCATCTTCATCTTGTGTGATTTTTTTGGTTCTGCTTTTCTGGGTTACAAAAAAGATATTTTTTTTATTACTTGAAGGGTTCTGATTGTGAGGTCAAATGTTGACATTTCCATTGTCTTGGAAGTTTAACCGACGCACTTGATTTGCTGTATACTTTTTAAGTTTTTTTTTTTTAATAATTAAAATATCATTTACGGTGCCGTTGAAGCAGGTCTGCAACCTATGTACACGGAAGGTATACAAGGTAGCAACCGATGAACAAAATGAAAAATTAAGATAAAAATACAAATGATCAAAACCTCACAAAAGAATCTATAGATACCGTAGCTCCCCGCTCTCACTTAAAGCCAAAATAACCAATAATTCAATATTAATTCCTTCACTCTATGAGTTGTAGCCTCTAGTCTCAGTGCTTCTTCAAAATATCACCTAGTTACTTCCCTCCAAATACCTCCCATAGCGAACAAAGGAGCTGCCAACAAGATTTACTAGCCTTACGAGCAAAAACCCCTTTCCAACAATTCAATGAGCCCTGTAACAACCTGGGCATAACCCAAACAACTGTACACAGACAAAATCATGCACTGCAACTCCCTAATACACTCATAGTGAATGAGTAAATGCTTAACAGTCTCCTTTGTTGTTCACCGATGGTCTTGAACACGAAATACGTAAGACTAGAACACCGATGATGTTGGATAAAGCTTTGTTAATGAGTAAATGCTTGACACTCTCCCTTGTTGTTCACCAGTAGTCTTGAACACAAAACACAGAAGACTAGAACACTGCGGATGTTGGATAAAGCTTTGTTAATTGTGTATTTGTGGTATCTTGTTCTTTGAACTTGCTTTATGTATGCTAGTGCTTACTCTTAGTTGCAGATAAGAAGAATTCTCTTGGAAAGATCATTTCTTTTGTTTTTACCATGCAAAATCCAAACGATTAGATCATTTTGAGATATTCATATGGTAGGTATGACGCTCATCCTATGCGAAATCATGAAACTGGAAACAAGATTTTTTCCCCTCCTTATAAAATGATTAAACTGCACAATGGCAAAAGCTTGGAAGGCTCTCTCTTGAGTTCAAGAGTAGCCACTTCATGTAAAATAATGCCAAACCTTAATTCATTTTCAGCCTTCCTCTCCACACCCCACGTAATGGGAGCACCAAATAATGGCCTTTTTGATAAATGGTTTAACTGTTGTTATGGAACTTCATCTGGAATATTTAAAGTCAAAGGCTGAGTATTACACCTTATTCACTTCAGATGAACTTGATTTATGGAGTGCGTGGGTGGTATTTGATATTGTGGAGCATGTTCTTTGTTTGAGATTCATTATTAAGAGTCCAATTCGACTTAGAACACTACATTGCCCTTTGACCTATGGTTTTATGAGCGTCTTTATTCCACCTGACCACCATAGAACTTATAATATCATGCCTTTTTCATCAGTGAGCTTGGGAAATATTATGAGTGTTTTTATTCCACATGACCACCATAGAATTTATAAAATCATTCCTTTTTCATCAGTGAGCGTGGGAAATATTATGACATGAACAAAGTGCTTTCAAGTGAAGGTGACACTCTATATGTACTGTACGTTTGCAGTAGGATTTCTACTCTCAATTAATTTTTGATCCTTTTATGCTATTAGTATGCTATTTAATATTTCAAACAGCTTTACTTCATGATTTGCGGGTTTGCCTGTCTATTATCCAAAAAGTTTGTAATGTTCTCATAAGAAATTGAGAGTCAATGATGTTAAGTTATGCCTGTATAATGCTTTAATATCATGAAACTATCTATTATATCCCAAGGGCATAAGAATGGAAACAGGTATAAACTCTTATGTGACTTTTTAATGGTTTGGTTTCGTCTATTTTGTGTTTAAAGTTCTGAACTAGAGACAAAAATGAGAAGTGCCTAAGTGATGTTTTGTTAATGCATAAAAACTCACACAGGAATGTAATGGGATGAGCTTCCTTCCTTTAATTGCAGAGTGGCCCACTTGCAGCTTACTATAAGCTACCTCTCAATCGTGTGGTTGTGGTATGGTCTCTTTCAGGATTTGTAGCTCCTCTCTTTAATTTTTTGATTATTTGGTAACATCTAGTTGCTATTCTTTATAATTAATGTTTTGTGGTTGTAGTTTCATGATGATATGAATTTGCCATGTGGGGTGCTTCGTCTTCATCACGAAGGAGGTCATGGTAGCCATAAGGGGTATGAATAAGGATGCTTTATGTGCTTAATTCCAGAACTACCAAAAGTTTTGTATGCATTAAATTTACTTATCATACAGGGATCAATTGTCATGACAAAGGAATTTGTTTGTGCACATATGTGGTTTTTTGTCACCTGTTATAATTGACCAAGTGGCATTATGCCAAGTGTAACACCTATGAATTAAATGGGGTTTTATTAAAAATCTACGTGTTTGCTTTTCGTTTGCTACTCCTTAACATAAAGCCTTGACCATTAGACTGGCTTCCTCCTCATCTTGAGCTACTAGCAGCCTTTTGAAGGCTTGTATCCTCGTCTCCCAATGGAGTAGACAGCTACTACCATGAGGTACTTACCAAAAATAAGAAAAGATAATACCTTTAGGTCACCAAGCCCGTCATCTAGTTATGCCCCTTACTGGAGTAACAGTATCCTATTATACCTTCATTTAATTTAATAGTTTTCATATTTTTCAGTGTACTGGAGCAAGGAGCTAGTACCTCTTGGCCAACTGGCCTGTCATCTCATTATGCCTTAATGTAATTTCAATCTATTTAAATACTTAGTACCTACGAAGTACAGACACCTCTACGAAGTAATCATATATCCGATTGTACCTCTTTGAATTCAATGCTTCTCAAAAATTTCAGCTTATTGGAGTAGGCAGCTAGTATTTCAAGGCCTCTTGACCTCTCAGCTTATTACACACTAATGTTTTTCCTTTATAGCTCTGCTTAGATGCTTAATACCTATGAAACATGTATATGACTACAAAGTAATAGTACCTGATCATACCTGTATAGAATTCAATACATAGATGCTTCAGTGTATGTGTCCAATTATTCGTAAGCATATGCATAATCTTAAATAAATCTTTAATTTCAACCATATAATGTATGCTTCTCGATTTCTCACGACATGTTTTGAACATGCCTTGGACATTGTAATGTGGCATTCATAGAATATTATTAGAGATCATTCTTCGAGACAATATAACAAAAGTTTTAAATACTTGGAGCCAAGGATGTTTTCAGTGTTTATGGCTCTGTATGTCACATAGGTTTTTGTTTTAAATCTTTCATTGTTGGAGAAACAAGGAATGGATTCTTGAGAGAATTTTTAAAGGCATATGATTTGTAATAGCTGAGACATGCATTGAGTAGAAATTCACAAATCATTAACCATGGATAAAACAGTGCACATATGTATTTTTCTCATGCTAGGAAGGTATGGACACTGGACAACATGTAAGGATTGTAAATTAATCCAGGGGTGAGAATTTCCATTCCATAAAGGCCACTCTCTCTCTCTCTATCTATATATACATGCGTGTGTTTGTCAAGAGATGGAAGATCGAGAGAAGAGAAAAATTACTACAAAGAATTACCTGGCTACATTTCCTTTCTTTGCCCCTTCTTTCTTGGAAGCAGGAAAATTTTCTCTACTGTAAGATAACATGACAGAAGGAAGAAAACATTATTAGAACCATACTTGTGACCTTGTACCTGGCCCACCCACCCTGCCCAGCACCATGGATGTATTTTCTTACTTGTAATCTGATGATCAACTCGCTTTGTATTTACACATGTAAAAACATGTAGGTGTGTACATATATGCACACACTCATGCGCCTATACACAAGCACACACTTGCACATACACATGTATATATATGTGTGTGTGTGTGTATTTAAGGAGGTTGACATGCATGTTAAAGGGTATGGAAGGTATGGCTAAGATGGTATAAGTAGGTTGGCATGCAGATTAAAAGGTATGGAGATGTGGCTTAGGTGGAGGAGACTAATGAATATGGACCCAAGTAGTTCACTGAAGGCATTTCTTGGTTGAGGTTATTCTGGTTACCACTAAAGTTAGATTTCAACCATAAAAAAAAAGGGGTTGGGGTGGTTCAAATCTGCCATAACTGATGGTTTGAAGTATTTGATTTAAACTTAGTTTACTGCTAAAAAGTGAAGTATACAAACTGTAGTACTCCTAGGGGTTAGAATAATTTGAGAACCTTTTAAACTCCATCAGGCCTTCTCATCTTATGTATAGGGTCAACAATTAGATATAATATCTGGGATTTTATTAAAATTCATTTACTATTTCCCTAATCTCATGATAAGAAAACAAGTTATGTAATATGAGGAATTGCGGATGCTCCTTTTTGTTTTTTATTCTTGGCTGTATGATGGTTGAGGATATAGGTTTTTAAGTCCGGAGAGGACAGCCATTCTGTTGTATGGTGTCATTTGTTTCAGAAAATTTGGAACCATATGCTTTTAGTACCTAAGAAGAACAATTGTTGAGAGGATTAGGATGTTATTAACAGTTACTTAGAGGCATTTTCGTTTGTTTTGTTCTTTTGATTGGATGTCTCAGAACTTAGGTTGTTTCTGCTCTTTAGTATTATTATTATTATTATTATTTTTTTTCTATGTATAAAACATTTCTGATGCAAGCTTGTCCGAGATATCATTTGATCTCAGCAAAGTGTATGATGACCAAATGTTTTTGTGTGCAAGACAAATTAGGAGAAATAAACCTTCTTCAGTTTTTTTTTTTTTTTGCAACTCCTTTTAGTTCTGTTGTATTCAGTAGTTTTTTGTGAAAGAAGCTATTTTATTGGGTTTCAAAGTATTCATTTGTTTGTAGAATGTGGTATGCAATCATTTGTAAATTATGGTTGTTTTTGCTTACGGAAAATTGGGAGTTTGACTTCTTAGACGTGTTATGCAGTTCAGCTTCCATTTTATTACTATTGTGACACATCTTACTCTTTCTCTATTACTCTGCTAGGCTGAAGAGTGTAATCTATCATTTCCGAGGGAACAAAGAATTTGCGCGTCTAAGAATCGGTTAGTTGACAATCTGAAACTTTTATAATTTGTTGTTTTTCGTCTCCAATATCATTATTGATGACCAAATTATATTGGGGCTCTTGTTAGGTATTGGAAGGCCTCCTGGTCAAATGGACCCCAAAGCATTCTTGCTCCAGAGGTTCAATGCAACAGCTCAAGAACGAGTAAGTATGTGGTTGTGTCACACTATCTACTTGTCATAGATCACATCACCCAATGCATGTCTCGCTCTCAAGGCTCGAACTCATGTTAGTCAACAGCAGCTTTTACCATTTTACCAAGGAATGACCCCCCAAAACAATGTAATTGTCATGTTGAAGACAATTTCTTCTCATGAAACTTTATATTTTTTCCCTAGTTTTCTCATGGAACTTTCATAGTCGAAGAAAAAAAAAATTACCATTTTGGTTTGAGCCACTTTTTTTTTTGATTGATAACAAAAAAAATTGAACTCCATAAACTCACCCCCTCCCTTATATGACCACACTTATACCACTTCATTAATATGACTTCGGCTTACATTTGAGACACTTCTGAGAATGGCATCACCCGTTTCTGTCCTCAGCATATCGAACATGGTCTATGTCAGATCTGTCAAAATGAATATTGTAAATTTGAAGGAATATGGATACTTAAGATCCGTCGGATATGAATATCATGGTTATATCCTAAGTTGGATCTATTTAGATAGTTGATCTTTTCTCAAAATTCACAACATCGTGATATAAATATGATCCAAAATATTACAGTTATGACTTGTGGCTCCAAATGAATTAATAATAATGAAGTTGCTATGGTTATGCTCTTTGTTGAGTTTTTCTTGCAAAAGCTTATTTTTCTCAATCCAATTCTAATAGAGGTCCTTTATTGTTGGTGTGTTTGGGGTAAGATTGATACCGCTTTACAGGAGGGTGTTGGTGTGTTGAATACCCTTATTTCCAAAGGCTTGTCAGAGAGTGCAAGATGCTTCAATATGCAGCAAAAGTACAAGCATATAAGATTGCAGACCATGCCAACCTGACCAGCATGAGAATCAATTTTCTGAGATGAAATTGCTGGAGGAGTGTATAAGTGGGGGTATTTTATCTTCTATTCATTATGCAACAATGTGGTATGCCCAGAAGATGATTTTTCTATACACTCGTGATGGTACGAGTATGCTAACTAGGTGAACAAATGTTATAACCCACATGATCCAGTTTTACATTTCACATCCGTGCTTTGAATGCAGACTCAATACTAAATGAGTTATTGTTTGTAGATATAAAAGTTGATAAAATTTTGCCTTCATGACTAAACTTTGCTCCCCTTAGTCATGGTGTATAAGATTTTAAGGTAGATGTTGATTGAAAATATCGGTGAAAGGGTGCCATACATTTCTTTATTTGGTACCACATTAAGCATTACTGACATTATTGGTCTGATTGTGCGGCCCCTTTGGTTGTTGCCTGCATTACTCATTGATCTTGACGGGCGGGGTCATTTCTTCTTGTGGAAGTTGCATAATGTGAAATATGCTTTAGGCCTCGGGATAATTTGATATTTTGATTGCTACAATAGTTGTAATTTAGCATTGTGCAGAGTCACCGACCTTCGCATTAGAAGGGTGTATGGTTTGATATCAAATGAAAATTTCCAGAATTGTTTGCAGATATTTTCTCTCTTTTTATATCAAATACATGCATTCTGAGCCATTTGTAATTTATTGAATTTATAATTTTGTATTGCCCCCTGTTGTTTTGTTGTAATACACTTGTAGCATTTTATTAGAGGTTTTTCACTCTTTTTTCTGCTGGGAAAGTTCTCGCTGACATAAATGACCCTGTCAGTCCAACCTATTAATGGTTTTGCCATACTCTGCAGATCTTTCACCCTGTTTACTCTTTATCTTAGAATTATCATTTTACAACTTGGAAGTAGGAACCAAGCTAATTTTCCTCTCCAAGATAAGCTGTAGAAGACCAAATTGTGCAGTGTGCAACTTTCAACCAAATTTTGGTTGACTTAAAATTACTTTCTTGATTCTGAATTTTACTTCCTCAGTTAGGAGCATACAAACAGACTTGAGATGCTTGTGTTTTAGCCCCAGTTAGAATCAATTTTTATTTTATTTTATTTTATTTATTTATTTTTTTTCTATAAAAGTCATGTACGTAGTTTTGTGCTATGAAGACTGAGCTCTGCTCCACAGCTTTGTGGCTTTGCTTAGCGACCAGCTTTGCAAAGGGGATATCAATTATTCGCTAATTAGAAGTGTTGGTTGTGTGCGCGCGCGAGAGAGAGAGATTGGTTGTTACTTGTGTAGTTTGGTAGATTCTCAAAATGTCCCATCAAACAAAGAAGTCGGTGTTGCATCCATTGATTTCTGATAATTTATTACATCTCTCCCGAGAAGGTATTTAGTGTGCTTGGTGCACAATATCGTAATCATTTGTGTCTAACAAGCGTGCAAAACATACGTTGGAGCAGACAATTTTGATTGCACGTAAGGTGCATCGGGCACACCGAATATATTCTTTCATGAACTTTGGACCAATCATTAGCTGACGCGAAAAAATAAAAGAGTGCATTTGGTTGAAAGGTTAAAATGTCTCCCGGTATATATATATATATATATATATATAGTAGTATAATGATATTATGGTAAGTTTAAGCATAATAGAAATTGATTTCACCCTTCCAATAACCCCAAAGCGAAAAGATCTTTATCAAAGTTTTGCCCATTTGTGCACTATCTTTGAACAGGCAAGATCAAACTCCATAAAAGAAACCCAACTTTAGACCATGACAAAAAAAGCATCTGTTTTGTAACCTTCCACTTCTGGTAAGTTTTTCCGAGATTGATTAAGACAAGTCATCATCTTACAATACATACAAATAGTGCTTCACCACAAATAATCTCTATCACAAATGTCATATGTTTCATGTTTGCAATGGATATATATATTTTTTGCCACAAGAGCCTTGTGCTGAGAGTTTGAGTTTCTAAAGAAATAAATGAGTGCGCGAGTAATGTGTGTGTAAATTTCTTGTCAGTAACATAAAATATATATATATATATATTTTGCCACAAGAGCCTTGTGGTGAGAGTTTTAGTCTCCAAAAGAGCAAATGGATGCGTGAGTGATGCGTGTGTGACTTTCTTGTTAATAACATAAAATATATATATTTCTTTACCACAGATAAATTAATCACAATCTCATCATCTACGGTATGTAGTTTAGTGCCTCATTTTTGTTTCTATCAATGTGTTTGTCACTAAAGATGAATGGTTAAGACAAACGTTGTCTCAAAAAAACACTATAGGATGACTTGATTGATATAAGGGTTTGATTAAACATTCCATTATATCACATCACTGTTAACAAATAAAACCATCAAAATACTAACAATCTACGAAGCACGGACAACGACACAAAATACGAATATGACACGATACGGATACGACGATACGATAAATTTTAAAAAAATAAGACACACGGCTAGGATACGGTAATAAAATTATAATATAATTTTAATATATATAAATTAATTAATTTTTACTTAAAATTTTATATTAATAAATATAATACATTTAATATAGGTTCATAAAGATCCAATAAAAACATATATATAATATATAGCAACTCTTTATATCCATAAACAAAAACAAAATCCTTCTTTCTATATATATATATATATATAATACAATAACTCTTTATATCCAACCATGGATAACATAGTCCTTGTGGCCAAACATGTAAAGATAAGATTTGTACTTATCTTTAATCTGATATCCTCCTTTCCTTTTTCCACGTCACCATCATCATTTATCTCTGCGCTTCTCTTTCTCTCTCTCTCTCTGTGCCGATCTGCGCTTCTCTCTCTCTCTGTGCTGGCCGATCTTCATTTTTTTGAGATTCTGATCTTCTCCACAGTAGTTTGGCTGGTTTCTCTTTATCTTTTTTTTTCTCTCTGGCTGCCTCTTCATCTTATTCCTCTCTATTTTAAAAAGAAAGAAAAGTCTCCGGCGTGTCTTCAGGCGTGTCCGATCGTGTCCGGCGACTCTTCCAGTGTGTCCAATCGGTGTCCGGCCGTGTCCGATTAATTAAAAAATACAGGACGCGATTTGGGAGTGTCGGACACGTGTCCGAGCCTTTGACACGCGTGTCCGTGTCGGACACGTGTCCGACACTGATACGCCGACATGATAGCCGTGTCGGTGCCTCCTAGCTAGCAATTAACCGTTTTAAAAATGAATTAGGAATTTCCGCTTACATATCCTTTTCTTCCTTTAAAAAAGGGGACAAAAGCTTTATGTCATGCAAAATACCAAATCATGTGGTGGTCTAGCAGTCCATGCAACCCTAGTTTTATTGAATAATGATAAGTAGGTTTTATGCATGGGGATGACGTTATCACGACGTTGTTAAATATAATTATATCATCATAATATTACTCACATAAATTTAGTGAACGTGTTCCATTATCAAATGCTCTATCATTACTCATTTTTTATAGGATAAAATGACACTATGTGAGATTTGGAATAAAGACACATAGGTGAAAGTTAAGTTATTTTTAGACAATCACATCCCGTGTAAAATTTATCATCCAAACAGAACCTTAAAACATAAGAAAAGTCCACTTTGCCCTTCACTATTTTATTAATTTTAATTTTAAAAATTAAAATACTTAAATAACCCAAATTATACTTTTTATCTCTCTCTCTCTCTCTATATATATCCCGTAAACTCTGTGAACGCTACTGTACATGTTGCTTATTTCATTACCGTCAAGATAATCGGAGAGATTGGTGATTTCAACGGCGGCCAGAGATTCCGACGGCGGTGAAGCTGTGTACGATGGTCAACGAACAGGTTTCGGTGTAGTGGGATCGCCGACATGAAGGTTGTTGGGATCATCGGCGGTGAGATGAGACAACGTCGGCGATTCCGAAGACCAAGGTCTCAACGACGAGGACGATTTGCTGTGAAGTTGTTCGGCGCGTGGTGGTGCATCGGCGTGTGTTGGACACCCGATCTGGGGGAAGGAGATGATAGACGTTCCGCCTGCCAGGAAGAAAATAAAAAAGTCATCAATCACGTTGTATTAGTTAATCAAAATCCCAAAATTACAAGCAAATTTAGAATTTTCCACTTATACAAGTTTATACATATAAATTGGAATGTTCTCAATCCAACCCGTTAGCCCATGCCTAAAACTCTGGCTAGATTATGCAACGATTGACTTGGACCAAAAACCAGGTACAACCATATTCCACTAGACTCTGTACTTTAATTTGGACTAATTATCAAATAAGGTACCAAACCAACATGATTGCATTCATTGATTTCCTATATTTGGGCTAAGAAATGAATTGAAACTCTTAAAAACAATCTACTTCGTCTTAAGGAGAGAACAACAGTGAGGAACTGAACACCGGCGGCGAGCAAGGATGCCGGCGGCGTGACTGAACGGCGATGAAGGAGTGACCGACGAAGAACAAGGATCAAAACCGTATGTCCGTAGCTACAGACGGTGGTGATGGCGGCGTGGTGAGCTTAGAGGACGGCAGAACTGCAACCACCGTCGCCACCTCTACTGCAACATCGTCGTTGCCGCCGCCCGTGTGTATATATATAATTATCCTCGTGTGTGTGTATATATGTATGTATCTGTATATACATATATGTATATATGTGTATATAAAAAAAGAAAAAAATTGAAGGATAAAGAAATGGCTTTGGTGGAATAAGGGGGCGGTGAGGAGGAAGAGAGAACAAGAGAAGGACGGTCTGCAAAATAAGGATAAAAAGGTTATTTTAACTTTTAAATTACTCAATACAAAAGTCAAAGGATAAAAATATTAATTTATTAGTATTAAAGTGTCATTGTCAAAAAATAGTTAAACTTTCATTTGTATGTCCTCCTTACCCCAAACCTTAGTGTACTTTACTCTTTTTATTTTATTTATATATATATATATATATATATATATATATATGGTGAAAGAGAGAACAATGGCAGGAAGTTAGGAACAGAAAGAGCCGAACCAAACATGGCATTCAAGTGGGGCCAACTTAAGAGAGAGTGTCTTCTTCCATTTCTGTCACAGAACTGAGATTAATAAGATCCTTTGAGCCCACTCAAGAGAACCAACTACACTAATACTTAGGTTCAAGGCCAAGCCCATAATTTTATGGGCCAAGATAATAAAATCCTTTATTTAAAAATTTTTTTTTTTTAGGGTACGATAATAAGAGTATTAAGGCTTAGCTTGATTGGAGAGAAAGTAAGAAAATGGAAGGAAATACTAAGGAAGTTTAATGGAAACCTTTTTAATACTAATTTTGCTCTTCTTTTTATAAAAGATAAAATCAAAATACTATATATGAGTTGGAGGGCATATTTTTATTTTCTTTAATCTTTTTTTTTTTTTTTTTTTTCCTTTCAAATTATTACTTTAATGTGAAAGATGCTCAAAACAATTTCATTCATTAAAATAATTTCTCTGTCTCTCTTTCCCCAAACATTGGGCTAACATTATCATTTCATTTATTTTTTATTAATAAATCATACACAATGAGACATAATTAAAGGCCTTTTGATCCAATGGTATCTCTTTTACCTTCCAAAATAAATGACGAGGGTTTGAGTTTAAAAATGAGCAAAGTGAATGACCAGATGTAATGAAGAGGAAGAGTAGTTTGGAACACCTCAAAATCAAAATAACGAACGACAATTAATATGAGACGAAAAGAGTATTATTTATTTATTTTTTATTTCTACTTGTTATACCAAATATAACCTTTTTTCTTTTTTTTTTTTTGTTTTTTTTTTTTTTTTTCCCCTTATCTTAACTATTAAGTTAATGGGCCAAGTAAGATAATTTCTTTTTCTCTCTATCCCTTGGACAAACATTATCATTTCATTTATTTTCTATTAATAAACTAAATTAACACAATGAGATATAATTAAGGACTTTATGACACAGTAATATCTCTTTTACCTTTCAAAGTAAATGAAGGATTCAAGTCTAGCAAAGTGGATGACAAGACGTAATGAAGATGTAGAGTAATTAAATGAGACGAAGAGAGTATTATTTATTTATTTTTGGGTAAAGTACAAAGGCACCCCTTGGGGTTTGGGGTAAGGACAGACAGATGAAAGTTTGTCTATTTTTGGACAACCACATCCCCTTGTGAACTTTTCCATCCAAACAGAACCTTAAAAGATGTGAAAAGTCCATTTTACCCTTCACTATTTTATTAATTTTAATTATATAAAATATCAAAATACTTAAATGACCAAATTACCCTTTTCATCTATATATATATATAAAGGGTTTTTCAGTGGGATTGTTCTTGTTGTTCTTTGAAGATTTAATGATTGATGATGAAGGGTTGGGTGATGGAAGGCTATCATAGAGACACAATTCATAAATCCGTGTGTATACTAAACCAAAGCGGTTGAAGTATACCAGTTACCAAATCATAAACACACAAATCTATACATACATACATACATACATACATATATATATATATATATATATAAATTGTTCGAAACCCTAACCCAGTATTTTTTACCTTTAATTGATCCTTTATTCCATCCCAAATCAAAGTCAAACTATGGGGTTTTCATTCCAATCTTTTCAAAAAAAATCTCGAGGTCGTCAATTCGGTGTTTAAATTGCATCAAATGTTGGCCCCGCAGTGGTGCGATAGAGGTGGTGTTGTTAGCGGTGAAGGAGATAATGCCGAAAACAGTGATGAAACTTTAGCACAGAAATTGCAAAAAACTTCAAGATCACTACTGGAATTCGAAATTGCAGGCTCTTCAGGAAACTTTTCAACTGGTTTAGCACACTGCTTTCCTTTAAACTCAAAGCTATTACCATGAATTTCGTATTCCTCTTGACTGATTGTGTTCTCAGTAGAACTGCCTCCTACATCATATGTAATATAACCCATTTAAATACCAAAAGCTCAAAACCAAAAGCCTTTCGATCTCCTCTGTTCTGGCCGCTACAATCCTATTGTGTGCGTGTGTATGCATTTAAATTTAGATGGGTTTTACTCAATAACCCATTTAAATTTGGGTTTATTAAATGGGTTTTACCCAAAAATCTATTTAAATTTATTTGATTCATGGGTATTTAAGTCAATTGTATTTATCAAATTTATATCAAAGGGTAATAAAGTCAATTCATCATTTTCAGGGTGTCTTTGTCCATTTTATCGAACTTGAAGGAGTGTGATTGTTCAAAAGTAGAACAACTTTCAGTTACCTGTTCTTATGCCAAACCTTTGTTCTTATGTCAAACTTCGTATTAGTGTACTTTACCCTTTATTTTTTTATTTCTATTTGTTATATAATTTTTTTTTTGTTTTTTTCACCTTATCTTAACAATTAAGTTAATGGGCCGTGTAAGAGTGTTAGTGTCAGCCTAGGACAACGAAGGAGTATGGTGCCAATTTGAATCTGTGCGCGTATACATAACGGGCCGTCGAAGCGCGTCAGATTATATCTCCTTCCCTGCACACCCAATTACATTTGCACATTTACAAAAAAGTAGTAGTACAGCATCTACAAAACTCAGCTGGCGTGACCGACCTAGAGAGAGAAACCTGAGTTTCTAGAGAGAGAGAGAAGATAGGGAGTGAGAGAGATGCGGAACCCATCACCATCGTCATCGTCTTCGAAACCCACCACGACGAAGTGTTGTAGCAAGGTGGGTCTGAAGCGAGGCCCGTGGACTCCCGAAGAAGACGAGCTCCTCGCCAATTACATCCGCCGCGAAGGCGAGGGCCGGTGGCGGACTCTGCCGCACAGGGCGGGTCTCCTCCGCTGCGGCAAGAGCTGCCGCCTCCGCTGGGTCAATTACCTCCGTCCCTCCGTCAAGCGCGGCCACATCGCTCCCGACGAGGAGGACCTCATTCTTCGCCTCCACCGCCTTCTCGGCAACAGGTACCTATACATACACTGTATTATATTTATCTATTAATACAACATTCTCAATCTTCTTCGATTTGGGTTTTTAGGGTTTTTTCTCGCCGTGCTGATTTGTACTTACTTTTTGGTCTTTATCATGATTAGGGTTTCACTCATCCTCACTCTATTTTCATTACTGATTAGGGTTTAATTTCTCTATTCTATATCTAGGGTTTCACTGTTTTCCACACACTAGCTTATTTCTTTCAGTGACCGCAATTTTCCAAAGAGATTTGAAAATCTATATATATATATATTGGATCTAAATTTTTATGTGTATATTAATTTGATCTAAACTTTTTTTTCAAATGGGATTGGTTGTAGGTGGTCTTTGATAGCTGGGAGAATTCCGGGGCGTACAGATAATGAGATCAAGAATTACTGGAACACTCACCTTAGCAAGAAGTTGATCAGCCAAGGGATAGATCCCAGAACTCACAAGCCATTAAGCCCTAATTATGAGGATAATAAACCCTCTTCCTCCAAAGCAAATCATATCCCAAACCCTAACCCTAACCCTAATCTCGTTACTTCAACTGATCTTATGGAGGAGGAATCTGCCAGTGCCAATAAAACTGGTGGCGTAGTCGATAAGGGATATGGGATCATCGAGCTCCAGCTCCAGCAGTACCACGAGGACGGAACAGCAGGAAATGATGCTGTGAAAATGCAGAATTCTGATGGTTCCGGAGGGACGGGTTTGAGAAGCAGCCATGGGCTCAGCAGTCAAGATGATGATGATGTTTATAATTACACCGACGATGTGTTCTCTTCGTTCTTGAATTCATTGATCAATGAAGATGTGTTTGATGGCCAACACCAAGTAGTGCAACAACAGCATAATATTAATAATATGATGATTGCACCCGGTGGCGGCGGCGGTTCGGATCCTCTGATCAAGTCTTTTGCCTTTGGTGGTGTGGGATGGGATGCTCCGATCATGAATTCGGTGTCTGCTTTTAACCAAAATGATCCCAAGAGGTTTGAAGATCATGTTGAGAAGCATTTCTGATCAAATCCATCGCCTGCATGCTTTAAGAATGAAGCTTCAGTTCGTTTATTAGTTCTGAGGGTTCTAGGGTTTGCAGTAGTGTTATTTTATGTTTGCTATGTATCTTCTTCCACTTTATCAGCTTTTTATGATCTTGTTGTGGTGGTATTTGTTGTGTTATACTTTGATGATGTTGTAAACAAACCATATATCAACCAGTTATGTATTAATCTGGTGGTATGGGTTTATGTGCTGTTTCCTTTGCATATTATCAAGAAATCGGAATTATAGTGTTTGTACATCTGAATTACACTCATATATATGTATATAATATTTTCTTTTCTCACATTCAAACTTGCATTAATATTTAATCTACTTAATTATAACTCAAGATGGATTCCAATTATTTTCTGAAAAGAAAAGATGGATTCCAATTATTTTTTGAAAAGAAAAGATGGATTCCAATTATTTTTTGAAAAGAAAAGATGGATTCCAATCATTTTGTATGTATGAGCATTGTCATTGGTGTCCTTTGGTGGATAGGCCTCTGGTTTAGAGCTTCCTGGGTTTCTCATTGCACTGTTGATGTATTGTTTTGGTTCTTTTTGTTCCCCCATACTTGGGGGCTCTCTGTACATTCTTCCTTCTTCTAATATAGCTTACCCTTTATCTAAAAAAAAAAGAAAAGAAAAAAAAAAGAAACATAGTTCATGAGCTAAATTTGTCAAAGAAACAAAAAATAGTTATGCAATTGATCGAATTTAAATGCCTAAAAGGAGATAAAGGAAGACTGCTTGATGTTATAAAACTTATAGTAAATGATGTGCTATTCTCCAAAGGTTATGTAAATTTTCATGTATATCAATCAATATGTGTGTGTGTATATATATAAAAGTTTATGCAAATTTCCTAGTTATTTCAATATCAATGAATCAAGCTTGTTCATTATTCAAAATTTAGATTTTGAAACCTCAAAGGTGCACTACAATTGTATGGTAGATAAATGATAATCAACAAAGGAAACAAAGACCAGAGATATATACACACACTAAATTCTTGAGGAATTAACATGATATAGATAACTTTAAGTGGAAAGGACACCTTAAAGTTTTGATAGAAGTTTGATTATTGTGGACAAACCCTAGCTTAAGTTAATTATGTGATTCTAGTGGCATAAAAATACTAATTAGATGGACATTGTTGAAGAATCTCCATTTTAATGGCAGCCAATTAAATATAATTTGACACGTACTCACAGAATCTTCTAATGCTAGGGATATTATGTTGATGATTATTTACAAACAGAAACAGATTCTTAAGTGATTTTTTCGATTTGAGAAATTACATAAGCCTACTAATCTAGTGTTGCTCAACCTTGACATGCATCTCAAGTAATTAATCAAGAAAATGAAATCAAATCACGAGTTTGACTGGTTTTTGCAGTACTCCTGTGAATTTCACGAAAAAATTGGATTGTTTTGTAAAACTAAGCTAATGGTCTATTTAGGGTTGTAAGAGTGCATGCATGAGTACTTCCTATACTCTTCAACACAGGCTAGTTTGGCGTATTCGACATGAGTTCTTATTACCTAGCATATGTAATTTGAGATAGAAAATATGATGTAGAAGTTTATCTTGAGTGATTTCATACTAAAAATTATTAATTCTAAAGTTATTCCTCAAGCAGCTTCTTCAGAATGCATATCTTAATTAGCAAATACATACCATGGCCACATTTTTTTCAATGTTTTTTTTTTGTATTATAATTTCTTCTGCAACTTGTTTAACCTTAATTCGTGTTGTAAATAATTATAATTATCATCTCCAATGACAAGCTAACTTAATCAACCACTAGCTAGCACCAATAATTCAACCAACAAAATCCTATCCCAACCATTGTGGCCGGGGGCTAAAAATATGAACAATCAAATATATAAATTACTAGGCCACTGGCCCGTTGGTTACTACATATTATTTGATTATATATATATATATATATATATATATATATATTACCTTTTCATATATTTTAGTTGAATCTTTTTGTATGTGAACCTCATCCATCTTCTTGCATGACAATTAAAGAATTCACTTTTCTTTTCATTGAAGTTTTCATTAAGGAAGGTACTATTTCATCTACTCTTGTAGATGATATACATGCAACCAATAAGGTCTAGTTCCTAAGCTAATATAAAAGTTAGATTTACTAATTTACACAACAAATTAAACTGGTTTTAGTGTGCCCTCTGTGGCGCCTTCTTAGCAAATGGCAACTTATTGCTATGTCAAGCATGACGTGGGAGAGGAATCTGGTTTCGGATTTCATAGAGATGGTGTGTGAGAAAAGCTCATATTAATTAATTAGCAAGTTGTTGCATTTTCTTTTTAGGGGAATTAATAGGAGAAAAATGAAATAATGAATTTTGAGGTGAGAAATTTTTGTAAGAATACAAAAAAGTAATGTCTAGCTTCGGTATATATTTCAGATATATTCCATCTCTAGAATCATGAGTTACAGTATTTTGTTCTGGAAGCGACATTATAGTCAGCGAAACCTAAAGAGATAACAAAAAGTTGCATGACTAGTTTCTCAATTGCATGCATTTATTTTTTTATTTAATCATTTTCTCAATGTTATTACAACTAGTGCATGGCAATTCTTGTGTCAATAGATTCGTACTTTTAGTATTAGAGTCTTTCCTAAAGTGTATATGGTTCATCAACTCTTCTAGCTAGCCAATATATATACCTAATCATAAGAGTGTGAACTGTGTGATACAGACTTTTAAGTTCACTTCCCATGCAAAATTATTTGAAACTAATTATATTCTTTAACTTTAGCTAAACTTTTCTTCAAAAAAATGCAACCATGTGCCCCTATGAGAATTTTAACCACCGACCTTCTACTTTGAAAGATGACAAAGTACCATTGGACTACAACCTTTGTCATGCACAAATATGTGTGTGTGTGTGTGAAATAAATGAAGAATTCGTAAAACAGCATGTAGAGTTCAGATTTTCCACTGCCAAATGTAAATTATCTTGTCTAAATTGCACCGGACCAATTTCAAAGGATTAATATAATACTTCAGAAATAAAAAAGAAAAGAAAAGAAAAGAAAAAAAGAGAAGTTAATTATGCAGCATTCAGCTTTTTGGAAAAGAGATAATTTATGCTCATAATGAAATGTATATTGAACTGCACATGCATGCTTTGACATTCACAGTAATTCATGGCTAAACTATTTGAATTTATCCACACATTTGATTGTATGTTATCGTTTGGACAAAAAAGGAGAGAGCTAGTAGACATAAAACCACAATATGGTTGTTCTTAGCACATCAATGGAGACAATTATATCATAGAAACTAATACTTTTTACTTGCATGTATATATATATATATATATATATATATATTGGAAATGTAAGGGAAGAAGCCACTTACTGTCAATGAAAAGACCAAGAGATCATTAAATCAATGTGGCATCCCTATCCCTTCCAGATGAGCTTCTGTGCGACCCAAAAATCTGCAATAGCATATATCCTACCTGGATTTTAGGGAATATATAATATGATTAATTTACTTGATAATTAGCATGCAAAATAAAAAAAGCATTGCATTATTCAAGGAATGTGAAAAATAATCCATACATTTTTTCTTCACACTTGCTGATTTAACACTCATGGATAGAAACAGGTCAGATTGCTAATATTTGTGTATGGTCTTTCAAAGGTTAATACAGGTACTGATTAAAAGGAAAATTGGTGCCTGTTCGTTTGCTTTTTTGAAAATAGTTTTTAGTTTCCCGTGCAGTAAGCGTATATCCTTACTATGAAAGGTGAAAAAGAATAATTAATTTATTGATATGGGACAAAATTAGGAGACACAACATCGTAGTCATTATTTACCCCAGAATTAAAAAAAACCCAACATCATAGTCATTATGCTAAAACCTACAGTACAAGATAGACTTTCAAGTACTCCGTAGTTATCAAGGATAAAAGTAGTTGTTCTGAGAATAGAGAAAAAGCAAACCAATATGCATGCCTACGATTTGAATCATCTGCAGAATTATGGTTGGTTCACTATGAAGCTTGGTTGTGACCTACCCAAAAATGGGGAAAAAAAAAACACTGCATATATATATATATATATATATATATATATATATATATATTTTAAATCCCAATGCCAGCCAGTTTTCTAGGTGCGTGCAAAATGTGGAAGGTATTGTGATTGCTGAGAGTGGCTCATATTCGTTGAATGAAGTGGGTGTGTAATGGTAAGACTCAAATCACCCAATCGAAATTAGTAACCGCGGTTATTGTATTTGTGACTGTGGCTAACACTACTCCAGAAATGTGATGGAGAATGCATCATTTGGTATTGATGCTTCAAAATCAAGCACGCTCCATTGCTTGCACAGTTGCACACTTCGGGGTTTTGCCACGACTAATCCACAGACAAGTGCAAGACGCTTCCCACACAGTTTGAGGTATGGTCCCTAAAAAATTATTTATTTTTAGGAGGAATCAATCCTGACACATGTTATCTTTGACACTGTTGTAATGGTTATGATCAACGTTGACAGTCTTTAGACCTACATACAATTTATAGACATGTAATTTCTTACCCCCTAAAAGATCTAGTAAGCTAAATAATTGATCAATTCCTAGGTTATTGACAAACAATCTCAAAGGGTTGAGTGAAAATTCTTATAAAATGGATGCTTTATGTAGTGATACTCTTTCTAAACCCAAAATTGAACTATTCTTAGTATTTCCTTCTCATCACAGACTCTTCAAGTCCTTCCCTTCTTGCCTTGCTTATTTAAATCTATTCAAAAGGTTGCTAAAAAGGGAGAGATCTAGGGTGCACACAATTTGATTCCATTATGGGTTAAATTGGAACTGAACCCATTCCAAGAGGTTCTAAAACGAAAACAAATAGTAAAAGACTGATTTAATTCATGGTTTTAGAACTCTAGACCTCCCAAGAACATATAATACATATATATATATAGTAATCGGTTCAGTTCGATTAAGATCTAAATTAGAATCGAATCGTAAATGTACATTCCTTATTTTAAAATCAAAACTGAATGAACCTCAGCAAAATTAAACTAAATTATTCTCTACGTATCAATTTATTGATACCAAATCATTTTTTTTATGCAAATATGAGGATTAAAATCATTGATTCAACCAATGCCTCTTGTTTATTCATCAATCTTCAGTTCTCATCATTACTTTGTGTGTCACTTGTCTCTTCAGCTGCTTCAATTCCAAAAACCCTCCAACTGGGAATTTTTATGGCAGTGTGTATGCGCATTTAGGGGTGACAATTCGCGTTCGTGGGTCGTATCGATATAAGAATATTATACTAAATAGATAAACTCAAACCCAACCTATTTAATAATTGTATCGAGAATTCTCAACACTAACCCAACCCGTTTATTAAATAAGTAAACGTGTTAACTCTCAAAACGAAACATTTAATATTTAATGCAAATATTAAATAATAGAAAAAAATTATCATAATTAACTTAAATATTCAAAATAAAAAGAAAAATCGTAAGGCATAGATAAGGTTTATGTTAAAATGATTTAACCATCCATAATAATTGAGTTTAAACAGGTAACGTATTATATAGGTTATATTAGCAATTATAACATTTGGGTTAAATGGGTCATAAACGGGTTATATCGGTTGAACCCCTCAATCATAACCTGACACGATTAAGTAAACGGGTTAATCGTGTCAATCTTTTTATGACCTAAACCCGTTTATGTCAACCTCAAACCCTTTTAACTCGTGTTGTGTTCGTGTCGTGTTGTCGTGTCATAAGTTGCCACCCCTATGCACATCACCATTCACATTCACGCGGCAAACAGAGCAATTATATACTATTTCATACAAATTTAATATATGTGGAATTATGGTCCACATTTTAGATACTACGTATTAAATTAAGAAGAATCATATAAATTTACGAGACAATTATGGGATTTTTTAAACATAAGTTAAAAATGAATTAGGAGAAATTATTACATATTTCTGAAAATATTGACACGGAAATAAAAGTGTTGAAAATGCATAAGCTTTATTCAACTTTTTCGTTAAGTGTCTAATAGTGATTGACCGGGAGAGGTAGAGCTTTGCTATGGGCTGGGGGCCTATTAAAAAAGTTCTAAAAAGCTTTATATGTATATATATACATACATATATAGCCCAGAAAGACTTACAGGTGCATAAGCCCAAACATTCCCCAAATATTTAAACTCTATTGATATCATAACCCAATACCTTAGTTTCTTAAGCCCAATAACAATTATAAATCAAATATATAGTGTGTATAATATATAATATACCATATTATTGTCCTTTGTTTTTAAAATCAAAGCTAGGAAGTTTCAAACATTTTATTCTTTGTAGTAACCAATTAAAGTTACTGGAAGTCTCAATTAACCTCAAACTGGGAAGAACCAAAAAAAAAATAGAAGAAGAAGTTTCGTATCTTATTATTTTTCTAGTTGATATTTGATCTTATAGATTTATTTTTGTACATATCCATGTTATACTTGACTAGATATATATAAATATTTTCTATCTCTCTTTGTAAACAAATATGCCAAAGTTCGACTAGATATATTCTTGTATACATCTAATAAATAATAATAAAAAAATTGTTTATAAATAATAGTCTTGTATTAAATTTTCTAATGTATGAAAAATAATTATTATATTTTGGCCTACTTAGGCCCCCCCGTCGTAGAATCCTGGCTCCACCTGTGGCCAGGAGTTGATATGATTTCAAAATTATATAATAATTAGAATTTTTTTTCCATGTGGTAGGTCCAGGCTGTGAAATCAAAAAGATAAATTGGGCCGGGGTCAGCCCAACCAGCCCAGATTGTATATCTTACGTGTTCATTTAGGCCTGGCCCATATTGAAATCTGAACAAAAAGCTTGAACGTGGCCCAGTTAGTAACACTGCTTACAGAGAGGATTTTTGCCAGCCCAAAAATCATGACATCATCCTCACTTAATATTAAGAATCATACAAGCGGAGGAAGAGCGAGTTCGAGAGCGGAAGTACGAAAGCGACAAAATTTAAGTCACACATAGTGGGAATGAGAGCAAAAGCAGGAGCAGGAGTTGGAGAGCGAATTTGAGAATCAGAGTGTCAAAATGACAAAATTTAAGTCACACATAATGGGAATGTGAGCGAGAGAGTGTGCGAACCGTGAGAGCTGTAGCGTGCTCGGAGCATGAGAGTAGCACTCGTTGAGAAAGATTGTATTACTTAGATTAGAACTATTAAAATTAACTTAATTAGTTTTAAATTGAATTTATTATTATCTTAAATTGGGTCAAAGCTAGGTTCAAGCCTTTCTTGAACAGTTGAACTTAACTCTAGGCGTTGAATAATTTGTTTTATTTATTTATTTTTTATGAGATAGTGAGAAAATATAATATACACAGAGTTAACCCAAGTTCAACTACAGATATAAAACCTTCAACCAAGCTCTCCAACACGAGCTCGACCCGTGCTCAAAATGGCTGAAAAATCGGACTAAAAATCAAGTTAATCTTGGTTTAGCCTGCCGTTCAAGTGGAAAATTTTGAATTTAGATTAACTCGTCCAAGTTACACCCGCTTGTGTGTAATATTATATACACGCGTGTACTTATAACACTCAAACCTCCTCACTGTGTGTAGTTATATACTCCTGTAATCTCATCAACCTTCACTACAACCTTATAAAACATTTAATGCATATAGAATTTACAACCCTACGTTTCCTAAAGGTAACTACAGTCTATATTTAGCAAAATGCATGTAAATATTAAATATTTATTTATTATTATTATTATTTTCATACCTTAACATAGCACTATATAAGACTTATAAGTATCACTCACAATCAAAAATCAAGTCAGTAAATAATATTCCGTACTATGTAACAATATGTAAAGGATTATTACCTAGCGTGGTCTTCGATGAGTTATTCTTAACGTCATTCTGAAAATTCTAACTAGCCGTTTGAAAACTCCATCTTACTAGTGGCACCCAAAAATGACCCTACAATATAATGGCACAAACATTTAGGAATTGAGTAAAGTACATGAAAAGTTACCAGAAATTTTACAAGAAGTACCCTAAAAAAGTAACACTAACGTTAAATTTAATGGCTGCACAGAATGTTGATTTGGTCACGAGGGTATTCAAATCATGTGGTTGTGGACATTTTTCCTTTGATTTTTGACCTAATATTCATGGACTCAAATCAGACCCTCCACTCAAACTACCAGTCCTTTTGGCACTTGTGTGATTGGTAGATGGTTGACTTGTTTCAGACAAATTAGGTTATTATAGTGCAACTTGTTTGACCATCTGATTTGTTGACTTTCCAAATTAAATCTCACTTGTCAGGAAAAAAAAAAAATATATATCTCACTTACATTCCAAACGCGTTATTATTTTTACCATTATTTGTAACTTGGATATATTGTTCAAGTGGTTGAGTGGTTAGGAGTATGCATTCAAACTTTACATTATTTTCTTTCATCTAATTAATCACTAACTCTAACATTTTTATCTCGAAAGATAAAAAAAAGTCATTGTCTTAGCCAATTACTTTATGACACATAATCTCAGTCAATCATATGATACATAAATAAGTATGTCAGCTTTGCGTCAACTTTATCAATTTGCAACTTTATAATTAAAAATAGAACGCATTTTTATCTTGAAAATAAAAAAAATCATTGTCTCAGCCAATTACGTTATGACACATAATCTTGGCCAATCACGATTCACGTTATGACACATAAATAAATGTGTCAGTTTTTTTGCAACCTTATAATTAAAAATAGAACGCGTTTTGAAAATATGTTTCAATTGATTTTTTTTTTTATTTTTATTTTTTTGAAATATAACTCCATATGGAAACATGTTAAAAATGACCTAAAAGAAACAAAAATGTAATTTTGTCTTGGTGTATCAAAAAAGTTAAAAATAGTGGAACTATGGTGCACTTTTCCAAAATTGCCCTTCAGGACCAATTATCCATTTTTTTTTTTTTCCCAAGTGCTAACACAAAACCAGGTCTACAAGAAATATGAATTTACATGACAAAGAGTATGGTTCACCTTTGTCTCTTTGACCTGCTGCTAGAACCTAAATGGAGGGATTCATCAAGCTAAGCCTTAACATTGTATCTATTATATATATATATATATATATATATATCAACATTGAAATATATGCAGTACAAATTTTGAAGAACAGAGTATGCATTTTCATGGAAAATTTTTAGCCTCTTCAATGTCTAACATGAAAAAACAAAACAAACGAACGAAAGCGAACAAAAAGTGAGCAAAACACATACAATAAACTCAAAAAGAAATATATATATATATATGTATATATATGTATTAGTTTCTTGGATATATATTCAAGAAACTAATATATACAGGGACTATTTTGCTATGAAAGAAAAAAATGACACCAACTTTCAACTAAGTAAATTTCATTAATGAATTTCATAAAGCATGTACACACGCATATATACATACATGAAAAACATTTTGCAAAAACCATATATCTTTGAAAGAAGAAGAAGAAGAGGAGGAGGAGGAGGAGGGTGTCACTGACCTCTAAACCGCGAGTCTGAAAGAATTGTAAGATGAAAAAAAAAACTGAACACGAAATTTTTTTTTTTTTTTTTTTTTTCCCGAGCCTTTTGCTTTCTGCATTGTTGTGTGATATTAATAAAATGATGGATGAGGTCAGATGAAATCTGAGTGAAGCAAATTAAAGAAAGAAGAATGTAAAAGGTATGAGCAAAAGAGAATCAGAGAGTTTCATGTATCAGAAAGTTCAGAGGTTTGATTTTTATGCCCCACAACCACTCTCAAGTCTTATATATGCCTCTTCTATTTTGATAGCCAATGAGCTAATAAAAATGACCCACCTAATAATATTGCTTATATTACTTAGATTGACCGGTAGATTCTCTCCTATACACACACGTATACATATATATATATATACACACACACACACAGCCAGGAGATTTTATATGGCTGCATAGGACCAACCAAACATTCTAACCAATGAAGCCATGATATATATATATAAAAGTTAGACACAAGTCACCAACTCTTCTTCAACCGGCCATCAGCTGAAGGGTATTTTTGTCATTTTGAAATTATTGTTGATCACTAACTTACTTGGGTCCTAACTTTGTTGGGTCCAATTTCAAGGACTTTCCTTGTGGATTTGTAGGGCTGAAATGAAATGGACATGCATTGGGCCTAGTCACAGCAACTAAATATATTCAAAAGGAGTTCCCCACACACACACACACACACATATATATATTTGATTTTAGGGTATTATCGTCATTTAGGAAACTTGGTCTGCCATTTATTATATAGTTTGCTCAAGTTCTTTTGCCATTTGTAGGGAAGTTGAAAACACAAAGTTACTTAAACACCCTTACATTTAATTTGAGTTAAATGTGCATTGGGCCCGAAAGCAACCACACACGCCTGCACAAGGAGTTCCGTACACACATATATATTCAATTTCAGGGTATTATCGTCATTTATGAATTTTGTTTGCCATTTATGGGTTTGCTCGAGTTCTTCTTCGAGTAGTACTTAATATTCTATTTAGTAGAGCACCCAACTTCCCGACACGGCATGCCTGTGTTTAAGTCTCCCCTCTCCTAATTTGCCAGGAAAAAAAAAAAAAAAAAATTCATCTTTAAAGTAACATTATGACATGTAAGAATGTGGTCAAGAGCTAAGTCACATAAAGCGGGAATAAAAGTGAATTCGAGAGTGAGAGCGTGAATGTAGAAAAATTTAGAACGTACTTAATTTGTAATTCTGAAAATAGTTTTTTGTTATCAAAAAACCGAAAATAAAAAAATTATACAAAAAATTCTGCTTGGTTCAGTTTTCTGAAAATTATTTTATGAAAACTGAGTTATAAAAAAACATGTTTTCAGATAACTATTTTTTATAATTCTTCTGTTATCTGAATTTTTAAAAATTATTTTCAGAGTTAACCAAACAAATCGTTACACATATTGAGAGGAAATAGGGCGAGGTTAACAAATCTTCAACCCACAGTTCAATTATGGGATTAGTAGGCACCAAAGGGTCTGCAACCTACCATTCTACAGTTGAGCATTTATGATATATTGTACATGCACCATGACAATGAAGAAAGGAAGCTAGCTTCCCAACTACCTAATTTAGGTTGCTCCAAAAGGTACAACTATAATATATTTAATATATATTTTTTTTCACCTTATGGGAAAAAAATTTCACAGAAGGCACATTATTTGGTTTAGAAATGTATACTTTCTAGAAAAAGAAAAGGAAAAGAAAAGCAAATCTTACCAATCTCTTCACATTTTTTTGTTTTGTTTTGTTATTGTTTTCACTAATTTTTTTTTTTATAATAAAAAATAAAACCAATAATAATAAGTTCTAAGGTAGGTAAGATTTTATGCATCTCCTAGAATTTGGATGTTATTCATGTTGGCGATCAGTCTGTGTTCCTAATGGTCTTTGATCCCCCAATGTGCCATTTCTCACAATGAATGGTAGAACACTAGCTATATAAAATATAATATTGGATTCATCTAGAAGACTAGAACCCAGTGGCTCAACAAAGTGTGTGTGTGTATATATATATATATATATATTTGGAATTCAGAATTTGCTTCGTCAGGGACCTTTGTACTCACCTGAAGTTACAAATCGAGAGTGCTACAATTGGTCCCAAAATTACAGTATCGGTTAAATCAGAGATTATAATGAAATGTTGGGGTTCAAAATCAGAATATAATACAACCCAATTCCTTATTTTACCATCACCACCAAACCCCTAGGCAAGAAATATTTTTGAGATATGTTGCTTGATTCACTAGCATTAGACATAAGAGAACAAATGAAAAGATTTAATATGTGAAAATCTTATGGTCTGCTCTGTATGTCATTTAGAAAATAGTTTTGAAGAATTCAAAAGATACAAAAATGACAATTCTCTAAAATATCTTTTTTAATTGAGTTTCTAGAAAACAGTTTAGTATGCTTTTGTATAATTTTTTTATTTCGTTCTCAAAACAATTGAATCAAACACAAACACGCCCTTAAGAATGATTTGAGTTCAACTCTTTTAATAAATGAATTCAAAAATGTCGTTAGAGTGGGGGTGGTTTATTTAATAAATCCCACCAACTGGGCCCTCAACGAGTTTGAACTTTACATCAATATTTTGGTTTATTTATTTGCAATCCTAGACATATGAATTTCGCTACATCTCTAATTTTTAATATTATTTTTTGAGGGCAATAATGTTAAGAATTATTGATATAGTTGTTAGAGGGAAGTCGATAAAAGTCATTAGTGGTTGCTGGTATTGAAGGGAGTTGTTATTGATGATGAAGAATAATAGGGACCGAATTAGTAAATATGTAAGGCTCAAAGACGGATTCTCAAATGCTGAAAACTACCCAATAAGTTGGTTTACATCTTTTTAAGTACTAAAAGTTTTTAAGTGTTAAAATTTTGTTTTTGTATTTTCAACGCATTCAGTGGTAAGCAATGTTTCCGTCTCTTGTAATTTTATCCTATTGTAAATAGGATTTATCGTTTTATCAAATGCGCTTTGTAATTTATTAAAAAAAAAAGCCCTACATAAATGGAGCTATTTTTGTCTAAGGGAATTAACACGTTTAACCTAAGTCACGTAATTATTCTCAATGAGTGTCACTCTCACGTTCCGAGCGCACTCTTACTCTCACGCTCCACGCATGTTTTGGCTCAAATTCTCACTATTTATGACTTAATTCTAGCGTTTAACACTTATTTGGTATGATTTCGTTCTTTATAAGAGAATGGATAGTCCTTTTTCTTTAATTATTATTTTTTATTAACAGGACCAAATTGTCACTATTTATGACTTAATTCTACCGCTCTCACGCTCCTGTTCTCGAATTCACTCTCGCTCTCGCTTCATGTGACTTAGCTTTTAACACTTATTTGGTATGATTTCGTGTGAATAGATAGTCCTTTTTTTTTTTAATTATTATTTTTTATTAACAGGACCAACTTTGAATAATTAACTAGTACAATTTCTAAAGCAATGAGCTGTGTCAGATGGTCTCGATCATGCTTTGAAACTAAAAATATTTTACTGGATATGCGAATGACTAAAAAATATTAAGAAAAATAATATTACATATATATAGATTCAGACTATATATCATCACACCATAACAAAATGAAATAATCAATCTTATCAAGTTCGTAGATGTATGTGGTTGGTAGTCATACTCATGTTGCCGTCGAACTTGACAGCCCTCCAAATTGATGAAGATGAGTAGATTACCATGACTTGGATTCCATACTCGGATATTAATCATTTTTCATCTTGTTATTTTCATTCACCTTCAATCTCAAGTGTTTCTACGCAAACCAATACATAAGGCATTTGTATTTTTTGGTAGTCATAAAATATATACAAACAAAAAAATAAATTAAAATTTAATAAAAATAACTTATTCATTATAAGTTTCACCCGATGGACTCGACTTCAACCTTGATCATTGTCAAATATCGAAAAATAAAAATAAAAGAAAATATTTTACATAAAAAAAAAATTCCGTAGGAAAAAAATAAAATATTTTATCTAAAAAAATTGAAAAATATTTTTCGTCCAAACAAAAGAAACCTTAAAATTAAACAATACCAGAGAAAAAAAAAAAAAAAAAAAAATTGATTATCTCATCAACTCTATTTGAGAAATACTTTAATGCTCCTATTAGATCAAGCTAAAAAGCCTATTATTGTCCTATTAGAGAAATACTTTAATGCTCTTACATGCTATCAGTAACTAATTTAATGTCGACACGCAGTGATATGATCCACTAAATATGTGATAAAGATATAATTGGTTGATAAGATGACAGTGTTAGGACGAATGGAGGAAAGTCTCTACCTGAGCTAAGGACTAAGTCCTAATTATGAAAAAAAAGGACCAAGTCCTCCTATCCAACATATTGCTCGGTCATAAATATGAAAATATTAATAGATGGGAGCATAAATAGGGGATAGTTTTTACCATGAATGTGGATAAGAGGACTATCAGAAAAAGCTCACAGATCTAATATGCTACTTTCAGGGGCGGCTCGAGCCTTAAGCGAGTTAGGCGTCCACCTAAGGTGCCTTGTATGTGATATATTGTAGTATTTGTTTCTTTATTGAATATTAATTCTAAAAAATTTATATCCTGAAGTAACTTTTTTTTTTTTTTTTTGTTTTCTTTCTCCTTATATTCACGCTTTTTTATTCTGATTTTTCTCCTCTCTCAGCCCTCTCAACAAGTTACTTACAACTTACAAGTCATCTCCTTTCTCAGTCTTCTCTCATTACAACTTTGCAATTTTCTTTTTTCTCGACTCAATATTCAATAGTCTCAAATCTCAATTTGAACACAGTTTTCTTTTATTGAAGAACTTGTAGCAATATTGAATTGAGACTTTCTAAATCAGGTTATATTGTTCTTTTTTCTTTAATTATTTTTTAGTTTTACTAACTTTTGTTATTATAAATTTGTATATATTTATATTTTTCATATATTTGTATATTTGTTTGAGAGTTGTGAGTTTTGTGACTATTTTTACTCATATTTTAATATGTATGTTAGAAAATATGAATACAAATTTGAAAAACTTTAAAAAAGAAAAGAAAGAACGATAGATAAACTAATTCAATTTCAAAAGGGAGTTATTGATAAATTTGTTACAACTAATAATCAAAACCTAACAAAAAATTTAAATGAAAATTCAGCAAATGAACAATCAAATCATCTAAAATAATTAGAAGATTATACAATAGTGAAAAGAATTAGAAGATTATACAATAGTGAAAGAAAAAAAATACCAGTGACTTATTCACAATAAAATCATATTTACAATCAACTATGTCACAAGAAAGATTAAATGGATTGGCTATATTGTCTATTGAAAAAGATATTTTAACCACACTTGAATATAAGAATTAAATTAGTATGTTTGCATCTCAAAAGGCAAAAAAAATAATTTTTAATTATTTATTATTTAATAATCAATATATTGCATATTATGATATGAAAAGTACCGCTTTTTATTTTTTGCCTAAGGTCCCGAGTTACATTGAGCCGCCCCTGGCTGCTTACCAGCATCTATGTGTTGGGAGGATTACACAGTCTTGCATGGTGAAGTGCCACAAAGTACAAGGTGATGCATAGACGAGAAACAGATAAATTGGTATCTGTTTGTTCTTCTTTCATAAATTCATAATCCAAGAGAAGGAACTTCTTGACTTGCAAGCAAAAAAGAAAATGAGCAAGAGAAAATGTACTCGAATGGCCAAACAAGCCATTCACTAAAGCGAAACCAGTAAGTACTTGCAAGCTGTATTGTCTTCGAAAAAGAAGACGACAGATAATACAGTGGAGAGACAATATGGTTTCAAATGTTGAAGACATGAACAATTGGACAACTTATATGGAAAATATTTGTCCTCAATAGTATATTCAGTGAGGGCAAGTTTACAAACACATTCAGGGAACTGAGAAGAAGATGCCCGGAACGAAAAAAGCAAAATAGAAAACATTAGAAGTTCCACAAAAGGGGGGAAGGGGAGAAGAATGAATCCATGTATTGCAGTTTTTTTCACCCATTTCATGTGCCCGGTATACGGAACGAATGGCTTCATCGCTTGTGAAGTGCATTTCTTTCCATTTCTAATTCTGTAAGATCTATATAACATGAGAAATTGGATTAACAATACAGAACAAAAAGGTTCTTTCCACTGAGCCTACACAGATGGAAGGAGGTTAATATCATGGCGAAATCAACATAAACATCACCAATCATAATCGAAGAGGCAGTTGGCTAATTGTGACGGCAAGGTGGTCGTGATCATGGAAATTTAGGGATAAACTCCCAGAAATTAGTCTTAAAGAGAGGAGTCCTTGAAGGATCAGGGATAGAGCATATCCACCAAATTCTAGTTTAGTAACCTTACGGAAGACTGGTAGAATTTTGAAATAATTAGACTGGTAGAATTTTGAAATATTTAGACTGGTAGCCAAACAATGACCTTAAGGAAGACTCTGGTCCTCCCGAGAATGCAGAGCTCAATAGCTATTGTGGGTCATTTACAATAAATACAAGAAGGGGGTTTACTTTTCCGTGATATATACAAAGGAAACTGCATTAGTCAAGCAAACAAACAAACCTCTGTGAATTTCAGGAAAATCTCACTGCAACTTAATATTTTACCCTTAACATTATAACCCTCGACTTTCCACAGAGAGGGAAAAACACACACACACACAAACACACACCATATGTGATGGAAAGGAAATAGAGGATATACTCAACAAACACACCATATGTGGTGTAAAGGCTGTAAAAACTTGAATCTATAGTACAAATACAGGCTTCACAACAGAAATGGTCAATGAGTACAACAAATGAACATGAAGCCTGAAATGAACTCAGTATTCTCATTCTGAAACAATATAGAAAGTAAAAGAGGGAAAAAGAGATGAAAAACAACTTATATGAAAGCAATGAACAACGTATCCAACCTGGTTAGCATGTATTAATCCCATCCTTGCAATCTTTTGTCAAATTATAGAATGTTTCTACCCTTGTCTTTGCTCTGTAAAGTACCTCAGTGTCCACTTCAACTCTCATGTATCCATCAAAATCAACGGGGCGGCCACCATTCAAAATCATTGTCTCATTGTACCACTCACTTGTATTTCCCCACAGTGCCTTATAATCATCAAGCAAATGAACCTTGTAATGAGACCTCAATTTATCAAAGTAATTATAGAATGGTTCATTAGTGGCAATATACAGATTCCTCCAAGGTTGAATCGTCCCTTGAAGCTTCGTAACAAGGGCATTTGGGGATGTATCAGCATCGACATGGGGCCACAGCTCCTTATTCTGTGCTTTCTCTCCTCGGACCACATGAACAGCATCAAAATCCCAGTCCATACTTCCGCTAATCTCAGAAACTATATTCATCAATCTCTTTGATTTCCACAGAGCTTGCCACGGCCTTTGGACGTACTTTGCAGCTTGCCCTTCACACACCCTGTACCAATAATTCTCCGGCTCAGGAGCATCAAACTGCCTCCAGATAATCGTGCTCTTATCTTTCTTAAGTTGCATTGGAGTAACATTATGGCTCGCAACCTTCCGAACTGGGATTTTCTTCTTGTGGGTCTTATCCCATTTCCTCCAATCTCTAAGGAACTCACCCTCCTCCACAATTGAGGCCACCTCTTTCAAATGCTCAAAATCATAATAATACCTGAAATCCTTTCCCTCCTCATCCTTATTACTTGGATTATAAGTCCCCGCCAAGCAAATACTCAGATCCATCACAAATGTTCGATTCAGATACTGAGCCTCACCAAGAGCACACAAGAAGCTCCAAAGGTGATGATTCATTCCTTTACAATAATCCCCTCCACGCGAATAGTACAAATACTTCCCCTTCCTAAAGGCTGCATCAGATCCCAAAACCGGGATTGTGTCATTGATCTCATCATCACGAAATCGAGCTGAAATTTTAGCATTCCCACCATTCTTAGTGGCATTAGCTCTACTCCTAGGCCGACGAGCATTTATACCCGAATGCCAACCCCTTGCACCAACCACTTTATAAGTACAATTTTCACCAAATCCAATCCTAAACCTCCTGAAATCCCTATATTTCCTCCAAGATTTCTCCTTCTTGTTCCTAAACCTCCATGACACATCACACTCATCGGGTTTCGACCCATTAACTGGGGTTTGATACTCCAAAAACACAATTGACTTGAAAAGCTTCAAATTAAACCTCTCAATCGTGATCAAGACTCGTGGGTCGGAGCAATTCACGGCAAACAGATCCTCACAACCCGATTTCACAGTCAAATTCGACATTTTCTCCTCGGATTTCTCTATCACCGCTTCGGTGATAGTGGCCGTCTCTGCAGAGGGCAGCGCCGACGGTGAGACAGCGACGTCCTCACCGGTTTGGAGGACGGAGGTGTCGGTTTTGAAGGTGGCATTTTCGACATCAGTGAAAACCCTAGTTAGGGCTCTGGAGGACTCCCATGGATCGGGAGGTTGGTATGTGATTGCAATTACCGTAAATACGAGCACAGAGAACACAAACACTGAGAAAAACACATTGCTTATGACTTTTATTAGGTTTTGCCCAATTGGGTCTGTTGTTGGATCCGATTCTTTCATTGTGAATTCAAAAACCCTAACATCAACAACTGATCAGACTAGATTTATGAATAACCAGAGTGTAATTTCGCAAAATAACCAAAAGACCAATCTTGAAGGTGATAATGACAAATGGGTTTGCAGAGTAAAGACTTAAAAGAATGAATTTGAGGAAGAGAGAAAAACTTAGGGTTAGGTGTGTTTACCTCTGATGTGGAGAGACCCTTATTGCAGAGAGTGATAATGCTGGAAGAAGAGAAGAGTGGAAGGTATTTTGGGAATTCAGGGAGAGAGTGGTTGTTGGAAGTAGAGAGAGAGAGAGAGAGAGAGAGAGAGAGAGGGTTAGGGCCTTCTTAGCTCTGGATCTGTGATCTGAATAGTAGCCACTCCAAGCCTGTGTGAGAAGAGAGAGAGAGAGAGATCGATCTGGGTAATTTTGTTTATGCAATAATTATGTCTTAATTTTCAAGCAAGAGTATAATTTATGAGTATAATACTGGATCCTCTATGAATAGCAAGTGACATATCAGCATCAAATGACAGGTCTCACACAGCTAATGAGTCCAACTTATCGCAATTTTTTTTTTTTTTTTTTTTTTTTTTTTTTCTTTTTCTGATTTTTTTGTTTCTTGTTTTTTGAAAAAAAAAAAAAATTTCTTTCAAAAACTGCAAATTTCAATTGCCAACCACGAGATTATTACTCTTCTTCATTTGTGCCTTTATTTTGGAATAATTAATTAAGAAATATCGTCATCAGGTCATTGGTACGGTGTTAAAATAACTTAAGTTCTCTTTTCGTCTCCTTTTATTTCAACGTAAAATATTTTTTAATATTTTTTGAAAAATATCTTTTGTGTTTTTTTTGGTATTTGGTTTTCGTAAAATATTTATGAAGAAAAAAAAATTAAAACTTAACAAAAATAATTTATTCATCAATTTTTTACAAGGTATTTTACACGTTCCACCCACCTCGACCTAAACCTTTGTTAAAAATCTTTTATTTTTATTTTTTACCTAAAAACAATTTTATATCAAAACAAACTGAACCAATGTTTGTGGGGAAAGATAACTATATTTTTGTGAAATATCACCCGGATAAATTTGTGATTTTATTTGTTGGATGAGATGAGTGGGAATATGAAAATTTTAGTCATGATTATATTAGTGCCGACTAAACTTTTTCAAGGTTCATTAATTTTAAGTCGGAATTTTGGAGAATGTTTTTGAATTCAATTATCATGGTGGGATGCAGAATGTTTTTGAATTCAATTATCATGGTTGGATGCATTTTTCATATCCAGATCAATGGATTGAAATAAAATCTAATGGTTTAAAAATGGTCACATCACCGTGTTTTTATAGTTATAATGTATTTAAATCAATCACGTGAATAATTTTAAATCTCTAAATTTTTATAAAGGATTCTGGTCTCAAGCTTAGACAGCCTTGTCATAAACTTGACCTTAGAATGTACCGTGCAAGTTCGTTATAAGAGTGATCAAAGGCGGAATCAGGATTTTATTTCAGAGTGCACAGTGCACTTTTTAACAAGTAGGACAAATATAACTTTTTAAAATCAAAATGCAAAGAATATATATATATATATATATATATATATATAGTTGCAAAATAATATGCTAAATAAGAGTACTGTAAAAAATATATATATATGCTTAGACAAAAATAAGAATAGAAATATTAGTTAATAATATTTTCATTAAATACAATAACAAATGTACTCTGATAAACAAACGATGTATGAATTGATTTAAATCAGTAGAAGAAAAATAAAAAAATAAAAAGAAGAGGAAAAAATGTTACAATACATAATTATACAAAAGTGAAAAAAAGAATTTTTTTAAAAAAGGAAACAAAAATTAGAGAAGGAAAAAAAATATGGGGTACTTGAAAAAGGGATATATGTAAATTTTTTTTTTTTTCAAAGGAAAATTAGAGGAAATATAATTTTAAGAAGCTTACCTGAATTATGCATTCTTTTGATAACTTTTTCTTATGTAGTATATTAATATGTCACATGTACATAAATATAAAATATATATATATATATATATATATATATATATATATATATATATTTAGAATAAGTATATTTCTGCCGACATTATGTCAGAAAGGGAGGACACACACCCCTCCTCTTTCAGGCATATGCCGGCAGGCCTAACATTGCTTGAGCTTAGTTCACTGGTCTATTCAAGCCAACCAGCACTAGGACAACTAACAAATTGACTTAAAAACAAGAACTTATTATATTGTGCTTTTATTTCCTCAGGATGCTCTTATACAAATTTCAATTGTTTATACATATACAGACAATGTTTGTCACATTTACAGTAGCTATGGTGATTCCATCGACAAAAAGTAGAAAATGAGTCTCAGAGAAGAGCATGGTTGTAGTCGTGGTAATGGAAATTCTTGTAGATGAAATGAGACAACCACCGAGAAGCAACAAAGCATAACACTGCCATGGCGACCAGAGTGGTCCGTGCAGCAGCTGACACCATTCCCTGCTTGGCTGCAGCGACGATCCCAATTGAAGCAACAGAGATTACCTGCAGTACGACCTCGAGCACGTTGAGGCCTTTCATCGCTGCACTGCAACTGCGGCAATTCACCACATGGGACCAGTACCTGAAACCAACCACGAGTTTAAGAAAATGAAAACGCGAGATGTTGCATCTAGTTTGGATTGGAGTGGCCGTCATACAATCCAAGTTTTCTCTTGTTTTCCTCCTTAGAACGTTGTACAAAAAGCTACTGTCTTTATAGAATTTAAGGACTAAATCAAACTTAAACTTGAAACCTTACTTGAAATTCACACATTTTATCTGTCCATCAGCTGTTCTCTCGGAGGAGATGGAGGAAGGGCTCCGGTGAACTTGGTTCGCCAATCAACTTGACCGCCTGCATATTTGTTTAACCACTTTCTGAAACCGACCACAAGGGCATCTGACTTTGTTGGCACAAAACAAGCTTTCTGCCAATTGGAGGGGCCAATGTTCATAATCCTACGTTCCTACAAGGAAAATGTGAGTCGGTATAAAATTAACTAAATGCAATATCACATCTTTCCCGAGGGTCCATTTGTTTCATATAAAAGCGTGACGGAGAATTACTGTGATTACATGGTTGGTACATTAGATACAGTTCACTTCTTGCTGGATAAAACCGAAGCGAATAATTTAATCCCATCTTCAAAATGATTTTTCCCTCCCACCCCCTAATCGATGGGCAATACAACATGGAATGAAAATTCTATTTGGTAAAAGTAGTTCTCATACTGCAAACTAAGCCCAATGGAGGTAAATTCATATGGGACATAGTCTCCCTAGCAACAGAGGGAACCTATGGAAATAAAATAAGAATTTAAAAAATCCTAAGCTTGAAGAAATGATATTTTATAACGACAAATTGTAACTAATTTAAATTGATAACTGTGGTATATCAATCAACTAGGCCACTAGGCTGATTAACTAAATGAAGTTTCAGTGAAAAGAAAATATTAAAATTTAATTATTTGTAAAAACATGCTATATGATTTTTCAGTCAACAACAAACTGAAATAATAAAATTAGCCCTTGAATAAATTAGAATAAAAAGTAGAAAGGGAATGGAAGAGAACCATGAGCTACGTTCATTGCATTTATCTGGTTGGTTGATTGATTACCACAGTTATCCCTACTCGTGCTACATCCAATTGTGCCAACATTAAGAAGGGAGCACCTTTGGTCATTCAACCATTCTCAATGAAACTGAATTCAGTTCAAGTTCATATGACTATGCAAGCACATATATCCTTTTGAGGCTCCTATGATTACTTTAGAAGGCATAACCAGGGAATACGAGGGTTATAAACAAGAACAAATTAGCAAAATATTCTTGTTAACATTTGGATGATCAAGACGTCAGACACACCTCTATGACTTCTTTTAACAACACGTGCCATGTAAAAAAAGTCATCTGATACACGATGAATGGTACCTTGAAGAATCACTCCGTGTCTTGACACCAGGCATGACTGACAACCCAACTCCCGTGTCATGCCTCCTGACATAACCTTGGCAAATGGACCTGCTAGAGGTTGATTGATAGGGCCTAGACAACACCTCTTTCTGAAGACGGTCCAGTGTCACACCAATGCTCTTTTGCAAATCGTTGCCGCAATGGAACATCCTGACTCCTGAGGTGTTTAGTCCAGAAGCTAGAATAAGGAGTAAGGACAAGTTAAGGTGACTCTTCACTCCATATGGTATTTGAACTATTGTGAACCCACTTTAAGGGAATGGAATGTATCCAATGGACAATTGTGAGGCATGCCAGCATATTACAATATGCTCTTGACAATAAGCACCCCTAGATATATGTCTCAAAGCCCATAGTAAGGGGCTAATTTGATCCTTCACAGAGAGACAGTTAAAAGAAAAATCAAGGGAAAAAAAAAATCATAACCTGAAAAGGTACAACCTAAGCCTGGAATTTACACTATCGGATTGGGGAGCTTTCCATCCTCAAGCCAGAAGCATGGCTTGAGCTGTCACATGCTACGTTTCCAGAGATTTTTAATGGCTCTGTGGCTGGAAAACAATACAGCTGGCATTCTTCACACCACACGCCTTATCTTGGCCTTTTTGTTTTCTTGATTACAGCGAGGCTTTGTAACCATTTTGGGTTCCAATGGCCTGGAACCAACCCTAATCCAAATTTCTTGAATTTTTAATTTCTAGTGGTACGGACGTCTAAGTGGCTTACATCCATTGGTAGATGTAGCAATTGGGGAGGGGGCTAATACAGGGCGTTAACAATCACGTTGCATAAACACTATCTGCTCCTTCTCAGTTGATTATCCACCGCAAAAAAAAGTTTGGAAGAATCTTGGGAAATATTTTGTCTCTCACTCACAACAAATATAGGACTAAGGTTGATAGAGTTGTGTTCAAAACTTGAGGCCTGTATTTTTGTTTATTAAATCTGGGTAGTTAAGTTAGTTGTGGTACCTTTTGTTCAAGGGTACATCAGGACTTTCACAAGTTTCAAGGATGTAAAGGTAAGTTACAACTTGAATTGTGATACTCACCATTTAGGGTTTTGCATATAGTAATTAGGGTTTCGTAATTTGTGTGCTTGATGCATTCAGAACTCTTTGTATATGCATTAGGAGTGTTTCTGGAAACAACTGAAATCCATATCCAAATCTAATTAGGGCAGAAAACTACAATCGATCGAGATATCCATCGAAGCTTACTGGCTTCGTGTTGATTGATCAACACTTGGCTCGACCAATTGAGAGTTCATTTTCTTTATTTCCTTTCTAAATTATAACACTCAAACCCTATTTTCTCTACTATTCTGTACGAAAAGGCATGTATTGTTCAAGAAAAATGGAAAAGGATAGCTAGCACAAGTAATAGGTCATACTTTTGCATATAAGCTTTTCATCAATATTACTTGTGCCCTCTGTTGCGACAAAACAAACAATGACGAACCGAGTAACAATCACGAAACACAACAGAAAAAATAAACACGCCACACACAGAACATAAAAATTTAGTGCGGTTTGACACAAGGTGTGTCTACATCCACAATGGAGATCCGTAGAAAGATTTCACTGTGCGAAAAACAAGAGATTACAAGTTTCGGCCCCCAAACCTTATCTCTTGCTCTCACTCTCTTTTCTGTGATTTTCAGTGTCTTTCTATATCCCACTCCAAACCCTCAACACCCTTATATATGGGGCTACAATAGAGTACTAAATAGGGTCCACAACCTGCAAGCGAAAAAAGGGTCAAAAATAAGGTCCACACAAAGGTCAATCAACGAGTCGTCGGATCAGTTGCAACCCCAGAACCAAATTTGGGCCACTCTCTAATAATCCTTTGGTTACCAGAGTTTGTGTTTTTGTATCCAGCATCATACATCTAGTATGGTGAGAGCATCAGTGAATTGTTGAAGTATCAGTTGCTGATCTAAGGGATTCAACAACAAAGTCCACACATACACAATTGGATATTACTTGCAAGGAGATAGAGGATCCATGGAGAAAGAGAGTTCATGAAGAACTGAGTTGTCGATGGATCAACGGCTTAAGGATATGAGATTGGTCTTGTGTGAGTCTGAGTTGGAAGGGGCTTAAGGATATAAGATTGGTCTTGTATGAGATTGGTCTTGGTTTTGGTGTTAGAGTTTGGTAACTTAGTCTGTAACCACTTTCTACTTGGCATATGTTTATCTGCCTGGCTGGGTTCTGTAGTTTATTTCGTTTGTTTTTTTCACACAAAATCCGGTGTTTAGTGTGTGATTGATTTACTTTATTGCATTATGCTTATCACATGCATTATTATGACAATGATTGGTTTAATCTATTTATTTCCAATCAAATAGACTTTATAATTTCTGTTTATCTAGTTATATTTCAAAATTCAGATAAAGGTAGTTAAGAGTATAATTCAACAAAAGGTAGAGAACTATTCCCCCCACCCCCCTCTTCTAGGTCTAGATCATGGACCCTGCACAACTCTTCCCCAAGCCTAGGGTTTCAGTATAATAGTTTTCTCCTGTTCTTTGTGCCGTTTACCTACGGTAGGCTAAACATAAAGTCATGGATCTTGCTGCTGTTGGCACAACCAATTTCTGATGGAGATCTTGTTCTCTATATCCTCGGTGGCTTGAGAACCGGATACGTCCTTGGTGACTTCTCTATTACAACTCGGCTTGATCCTGTTACTAAATATGTTCGTCATGACATGGTCTTTAGATGGTTGAAAAGGTTTTGTGTAGTTGATCCTAAATTGTTGGAATAAAAGGCTTTTTTGACATGGTTGAATTAAATGGCTTGTCTTTCTAGTTTCTACCCGCCTTCATTTATCCTTGACCAATTTCTGTATTAGTAAACAACAATTACTAACCCTCAATTCTAATTATCATGATGAACCCAAATCCCAAAAATGTTTGTAAGGTTGATTTGTTAAGCTTTAGTCAGTTGTATCACAATATACCTTAGAAAAAATGATACAAAAAGCTAACAAAAACTCACATATTTATAAAAAATAAAGAGATAGGAATTACCTCAACATGAAGAAGATATAAATCCGAATCCAGAATCAAATTTTGTCCCATATGGAATATCCAACGCGGAACAATTTGATCAATCCAAACTCCAAAGTTCCTTGGAAATGTCCATATCAATCTGCTGTTACCCGGACTAACAGGAATACAGATAAAAATTAGATGGAAACTCCGTTGCTGCACATGTGATGACGGTTCCTGAACCAAGCAAGTATGCAGAAAATAAAGTCCTAATAGCAAATCAAAATAAAATGGATAATTAAAGAAAAAAAAAATAGCTCCCATTGATCAACTTGATGTAATGGAAGATGCCAACTGAATACCTCTTCGGTTCCATGTGATGACTTAGATTTGTTCCCTTGATCCTTCGCAAGAGTGGCGGAAACTTTAAACACACAAGGTGCAATAAATATGCCATCACCCATCTCCTGCTTCGCAATAAAACCATTTATGCCCAGTTTCTCTACACCAATTTCAAGTGGTCTGCCCCCTTCTCTATCAACCTTAGTAGTGAAGGGAAGTCGGTGTTAGCCATATGAAACTCAACAAATTAAGAGAAAACTTAACATAATAACTAAAGATGAAGTTTATGTACCACCAAGGGCTTAAGCCCAAGTGGTAGCTCCTACTCTTTCCAAATAGAAGGTTGAGGATGGGTGTGTGCCCGTGTTATAAAAAAAAAAAAAAGTTTATGTAAAAGTTCTTACTTTGTTTTTGGGCTCTCGAACTTTCATTATTCCATAATGTGCATATGGAACATGAGCAGGGTCCATAAGATTTTCAGCAAGAATCTCGTACCTGCAAATTCAACTTTAAATAAATCAAAATAACTCGAGCATACATTGATTATTGAAAGACTTGACAAATTGTTTGTGGTACTTATCAAATGTTTCAAAGTTATATTCAGACTTCGTATAAAAGAAATAATTTGCCTTGATGATTCAGGGAACACAATATTTCTTTGATTTTCTTTTTCCACTCTGTTCCTTTTTTTCTTGTTCTCTTTGTTTCTCTCTTTACCTTTGTGCAGGCATTAACGAGCAACCACATAAAAAAATACAATTTATTTTCTCCATTACATTCACCTGAAAGGTTCTTTTTAATTATTTTTTATTCTCTCACGCAGAAACAAGACAGTACATAATCTTCTGTTCACGACAAGGAAGGTAAGAAAATGCAGTCACAATATGTTTTCCGTACCCGTATGGTATGTCTCTGTTTCCCATTGATTTAGTATACGACGGATCATCCAATTCTGGTATGTAGGGGGGTTTTTTCTTCATAAGAATATCTTTGTATTGAGGATCAGTGTTCGGCCAAAACCAAACCATGTCATGTTGCACGGTACTAGGATAAACAGCCGCACATGCTTTGTTGAACGTGTGAATCTATAAGTTTTGTTGGAAAAGCCAATCTGAATCATATACATAAGAAAATAAAAAAAAATTTACTGAATGTAAATTAGACCCGGAGCTGCGAGAGCATAAATAGGTTGAGATTTATTTAACTTCAACTTCTTTAGATCCAAGAAGGCAAGAATTACCTAAATATTCCTGTTCAAAGAAACAGAAAAAATAGTACCGAAAACAATCTGCAAGTCGAATCACACAATTCAAAGCATTGTAGCCTTCATTAAATAATAAATTTAAAAACCCATAAACTTCTTTTATAATCTTAACTCCAGTGATGATAAATGTAGTAAATAGTAAATTTAAACTTCTGCATTGCAAAATTGTTAAAAAGAAAAATGAAAAAGAATAGGCCATAGCATGCCAAGCAAAACACATAATTAATCCTTGTAACTCCATTTTTAAAGGTGCGGAAGTTCTGCATTTTAAAACAATTATCTATTAATCTACTCTTGATGTAGCAAGAGAAGAGATCTTGTATTTGGAACAAGCTCATCATTCTCAATTAGTCTCTACCCTTTATAGCACATTCCAAACTCCAGCATAACTGGTATTACTATTCTTGTTCCATGTATCATGGTACTTGGAGTTGTAATTAGCATTTATTTTAGGCATGTGATCATCACAATCTCCATATAGTCACATCAATGGACAGTTACTTTGAACAATTGATGAAGCATGAACCTAAGTGGAAGACAGTATAGACTTAACTAACGGGATATCAGCTACATCCCACAACCAAATTATGTTCTTCTGATGATTATGCAAATATATAATGTTTTCATATCCTTAATCCTAAACAACAAAACTGTAGATCAAGAGAGATCATTTAACATTAGTAGACGTTAAAATTTGATATACACTAATGCAACTCATTGACATTAGGGCTTTTAGTTGCTTTTTGTTTGATTTTTATTTTAAATTTTTTTATTTTTTATTTTTATTTTTTTAAAATTTAACAACTATTGCACCATTGTGCATACACTATAAACTTCAATGGCAATACGATTCTTACAGCCTTTCTAATGTACATTAAGCTTAAAGCAAATTCAACTTACAAGGACCTTATTTTTACAAGAATAGTCATAATTTCTTAAAATAGTAAAATTATCAAGGTTTTTTTTTTTTTTTTTTTTTTTTTTTTTTTTTTTTTTTTTTTCTAGTTGGTACTCACACACACTTGTCTCTTCTGAAACTTGAACCCTTAACCTCCCTTTGGAAAGTAAGAAGCTGATACCGCTAGGCCACTGGCCCGTTGGTCTTCCTCATGGTTTTGTACCAACCAGTTTATGAAGAACTCTTCCACCCTTTCTTTCATTTCAATTCCTTCACAGAAACTTTGGCACTAATCTATGATATTCATTTGGCCTTTATAACTTTTACAAGTTTCCTCATTACTACATACATTTAAGCTATAAACCTGCTCTTTTTCAATTAATTTCTATTCGAATCACCTCATTTATCTGCCAAGTTTCTTTTGGATGACATCCTATTCCCATAAACTTCTCCAAGGATCCCTTTTACTAACTTTTAACATATTTATTCATCTCATTCATAAATACAATACTACTAATTTTAGCATATTATATCGTAAAACTCAACTCAAACATTTTAGGATTCATGTCCATAGGGTGTGAGCCATATGTTTTGTTAGTTGTCAAAGGACCACAGCCTTCCTCCTTATTTTGGCTCGAGACTATAAAAGATAGAACATTAAACACAAGACAATCATAGTTCAATAACAAAAAAAATACAACAAAAGAGATTTGAGAAATTCGCTTCAACAACAACAACGAAGCCTTTTCCCAATCAGTGGGGGGTCGGCTACATGAATTCCATGTTTCCTTTCCGCTCTTTTTAAGGGCATAGTCTCAATCAATCCACACTCTATCATACCTTTCTTTACTAACTCTACCCACATCAACTTCTGTCTACCTCTTCTCCTAGTATTACCCTCAATGTGGACTATGTTGCTTTTCTTAACCGGCACACTTAAAGGCCCTTTTAGCACATGCCCAAACCATTTTAACAGATTTTCTCTCCTTTTTGCTTATGTGACAAAATTCACAGAAAAATTAATCTAAAATCTGAACTCATACAACAATTTGGTCATACAATGAGAAAAAGGAGAGTCATCATACCGGTGGACCGTCTGGGGGTGCCTGAGGAATGAATTTGCAGTCACCAGAGCCACCAAAACACCAACCATGGTACACACACTGCAATCTGCCCCACTGATCAATCCTCCCTTCAGAGAGTGGAGCCAACCTGTGAGGACACGCATCATCAAACACCTTCCATGCATTCTCATTCCTATCCCACCACACCACAACATCAACACCCATCACTTTTTTCCCATGTGGTACCCTCTTGTCGAGGTCACAAACCGGCATTATCGGATACCACTGTGAAAACCAGTCGAATTTCTCATCCTGGTTGTGGATACTGATTTCTTCTTCAGGTGGGTCTGCAAATTCAGTTGAAACAGTAGGAGAAATGGCAGTGAAAAGCTTGAATTTGGATTCCTCTTTAGGATTTGGTGAGAGAAACGAATTGGCTTTTTTACTGAGGGGAAGATTCAAAAAGGGTCTTCTCCCTATTTGGGTTTTGGGAAGTCTTGGAGAGAATATTGTGACCTGAAATGAAGATAAAGGTGAAGCACTCAGAGCTTCCATGACAGCTTGGTTTTTACAATAGTATCTCAAAGTAAACTTGGGTTTAACAATTTTCAAAGCTCAAACTGGAGAGAGATAGAGAGAGAGAGAGAGAGAGATGGTATGAGTTGAAGAGGTGTTCCAAAGCTTTGTGGTTTGAATTTAACCAACAAGTCTTGTTGAAGGTGCGTTATTTGGTTAATACTCCGTATCTTTATTCTACTTTATTGTATGAAAAGTACTGCATTTGCTTGACGTGGCCTCAAAAGGATCTTTTGATGGTAGAAGACGCAGACAAGTGCTGTCTGCACGTGTGTTATTGCATGAAGAATTCAAGAAAGATGGTCAAAGGTGAAAAATATGAATTAAGATGGTACCATTAATAACTGCACGTTTAATTTAAAAATTCATTGGTTATTTAGATACAGTGAGCAAATGCAATGGAAAACTTTTTAAGATTTATTTAAACAACGAACTATTTATAAAACATTAAATGTTGGAAAAAAATATATATATACAAATCAAATTCTCTACATGTATCAGTAACTCTGATTGATTTATGTCTCTTTAAAATCATGGATCTTGAGGCCAATGTTATCTTGTTTCAGAGGAGGTGAGCTTTCTTCAACGACAGGTGCTTTACCAAGTGGGATTGATACGAGTTTATTCTTCAACGACATAGGAGGGATGTATTGACCATTGAACGATTAAAATCATAGTATCAAATCTATTGATTCTAGGTTTGTATATTCTTGAATCATGTATGCAATTCTTTGTAGGGTTTCAAAATGCTTAGTGATAGAGCTTGTACCTTGGTTCGAAAGCTCAAATTGCTGTAGTTTTAATAGGAGCAGCGGTTATGCAGTTTTGTGATGGGAGTATAGTTTTAGAAGATGGGTTTTTGTGCACAGAATGCAAGGAGAGTCCATATAGTATAATGTTGCAAATGTCATCATATCAGGACTAAAACCAAAGGAACCCTCATCTTGGGTTCTTTTTCAAACAATTCTGCCAAAGAAACAATACTAACAGCTGACAAATTGACTTAAATATAAGCACTAATTAGACTCTGCTTTCCTCAGGATGTTTTATACAAATATTTAATTATTTATTGACTTAAACTTGCATATACAAACAATGTCACAATTATTTACAGTAGCTATGGTGATTACATTGACAAAAGGTAGAAAATGAGTCTCAGGTCAGTGGCAATGGAAATTCTTGTAGATGAAATGAGGCAACCACTTAGAAGCAACAAAGCATAACACTGCCATGGAGACCAGAGTGTTCCTTGCAGCACCTGACAGCATGCCCGGCTTGGGCTGCAGCCACAATCCCGATTGAAGCAATAGAGTTTACCTGTACGACCTCCAGCGCATTGAGGCCTTTCATTGCTGCTTTGCAACTACGGCAATTTACTGCATGGGACCAGTACCTGAAACAAACCATGAATTTAAAGAAAATGAAAACGCGAGATCTTGCATCGAGTTTGGATTGGAGTTGCCATCACAGATTCACACTCCTCTTCTTCTACTTTTTAAGATCATTGTAAGCCATGATTCAAAAGGTGTCTTTTTTTTTTTCGATAATTATGATTCAAAAGGTGTTTCCATGGCTAAGATTTACGATATGCCGTGGAACTTTCTCAATTTTATAAAAAATAAATTTTTTTTTAATAACAAAAAGCTTCCTGTCTTTATAGAATTTCAAGAACTAAATCAAACAAAAACTTGAAACCTTGTTTGAAATCCACACATTTTACCTGTCCATCAGCTGTTCTCTAGGAGGAGATGGAAGAAGGGCTCCAGTGAATTTGGATCGCCAATCAACTTGACCGCCTGCATATTTGTTTAACCACTTTCTGAAACCAACCACAAGGGCATCTGACTTTGTTGGCAAAAAACAAGTTTTCTGCCAATTGGAGGGGCCAATGTTCATAATCTTATGTAGGAAAATGTGAGTCGGGATAAGACACATCCACGGTGGATCGATGGTTCAAATTCTTAATTTCCTTTCTAAATTATAACACTCTTAAACCCTACTTTTCTCTGAATCTATTCTCTATTATTCAGAAAAATAAGAAGGTTAGCTAGCACAAGTTCTAGGACATGCTTTTGCATTTAAGCTTTTCATTCATATTGCTTGTGTTCTCTAGTATCCTCTGGTTACCAGGGTACGTGTTTTTGTATCCATCATCATACATCTAGCATGGTGAATGGATCAGTGAGTTGTTGAAGCATCAATTGCTGCTCTAAGGGATCTCAACAACAAAGTCTGCGCACACACAGCTGGACATTACTCACAAGGAGATCGAAGATCCATAGAGAGAGTTCATGAAGAACGGAGTCTGTCAATGGATCAACAGCTGAAGGATCTGGGATTGGTCTTGCGTAGGACTTTTGGTATTAAAGGTCGGTAACTTAAGTCTGAATCCATTTTCTACTCGGTGGATTTTATCCGCCTGGCTGGGTAAGCTTTAGTTGGTTGTATTACAATATACTTTAGAAAAGACGATACAAAAAGTTAACAAATAACTTGCATATTTATAAAAAATAAAGAGATAGGAATTACCTCAACATGAAGAAGATATAAATCCGAAACTAGAATCAAATTTTGTCCCACATGGAACATCCAACGTGGAACAACTTGATCAATCCAAACCCCAACATTTCTTGGAAAAATCCATATCAATCTGTTGTTACGCGGACTAACAGGTATACAGATAAAAATTAAAAGAAATTTCTGTTGCTTCACATGTGATGACGGTTCCTGAACCAACCAAGTATAATACATCAAATGAAGTACTAAAAAAAACAAAATAAAATGGATCATTAATTGCAAACTAAAATAAAAATTGAACTCCCATCGATCAACTTGACGTAATGAAATATGTCAACTGATTACCTCTTTGGTTCCAGATGATGAACTAGATCTGTTTCCTTGATCCTTCACAAAGACTGGCAGAAACTTCAAATATACAAGGTGCAATAAATATGTTATCGCCTATCTCCTGCTTCCCAATAAAGCCATTTATGTCCAGTTTCTGTACACTCATTTCAAGTGGTCTGCCCCCCTTCTCTATCGGCCTTAACCAGTGAAGGGAAGTCAGTGTTAGCCATATGAACTTCAAAAAGTTGAGAGAAAATAAGAACTAAAAATGAGGATCATGTACCACCAACGGCTTAGCCTAAGTGGTAACTCCTCCTCCTTCCAAATAGAAGATTGAGCGATAGAGTGACTTGCTTGCCCAAAAAAAAGAGAAAAAGGGTTTGTATAGGAGTTCCAACTTTGTTTTTGGGTCGTCGAACTTGCATTAATCCATAATGTGCATATGGAACAAGAGCAGGGTCCATAAAATTTTCAATGTGAACCTCATACCTGGAAATTCAAATTTAGCAAACTTAGAAGAACTCGAGCACAAATTGATCGTTGAAATTTTCAAAAGGGTTGACAAATTCTTTTTTGCACTCATCCATTGTTTCAATGAAAATTCAGACTTTGTATGAAGAAAGACAAAATCCATCACGATGATTCAAGGATCACAATTCTTTCACTATCTTTTCCATTCTCTTCCTTTTTTTGGTTTAAATTCTCTCTTTACCTTTGTTCTGGCATTAACCAGTAACCAAGTAACATTTTTATTTTTTTCCGATAAAGAAGAGTTCATTAAACTAGAAAGAACAAACAAGAAGGCTAAAAAGCCAGCAAGCAAGCCTACCAAGGGCAACAACCAAGCCAAACAAAATTCAACAGAATACAATCAAAACAACTCTAAAAGCATCTGGCTTGGAAACAAACAGAAAAAGAAACCTCAACATCAAAGCAGAACAAGCTAACCAATCCAGAAAAGAAGATTACTGGGGAAGAAAAAAAACAACAACAACAAACCAACCATTCAAGGAAAATCCAAACATCAAAATGAAAGGTTCTTTTCTTTTTTCACCGTTCACCTGAAAGGTTATTTATTTTTATTTTTCACTTACTTATTTTTTATTCTCTCAGGCAGAAAAAAAAATAGTACTTACTCTTCTCTTTGCAACAAAAAATGTAAGAAAAATGCTGTCAGCAATATGTTTTCCATACCCGTATGGTATGTCTCTGTTTCCCATTGTATTGGTAAATGATGGATCATCCAATTCCGGGATGTAGGGGGTTTTTTCTTCACAAGGATATCTTTATATTGAGGATCAGTGTTTGGCCAAAATCAAACAATGTTATTTTGCACAGTACTAGGATAAACAGCTGCACATGCTTTCTTGAACGTGTGAACCTACAAGTTTTGTTGGAAAAGCCGATCTGAATCAGATATGTAAGGAACTATCAAAATATCCTGAAAATAAACTAGATTCAGAATTATGAGAGAATAAATATGTCGGGATTGATATATCCTTCACTTCTTTAGAAAGATCCAAGATTTATATACTGTTCAAGGAACGACAAAACAATAGTATCAAAACTATCTGCAAGTTGGATCACACAATTCAAAATTGTATTTGGAACAAGCTCATCATGCTCAATCATTCTCTACCTTTTATAGCACGTTCCAAACTCAAACATAACAGGTATAACCGCATAACCATTCTTGTTCTATGCATTATGGTAGTTGAAGTTGTAAGTAGCATTTATTTTAGCCATGTGATCGTCAAAATCTCACAATAGTCGCATCAATCAACACTTACTTTGAACAATTAATGAAGAACAAACCTAAATGGAAGTCTGTATAGACTTAACTGATGGGAAACCAGCTACATCCCACAATCAAATTCTTTCTGTTCTTCGGAAGTTAAATATATAATGTTTTTATATCCTTAATCCTAAACAACAAAACCTCTAGATCAAGAGAGATCATTTAACATTCGTAGAGGTTAAAATTTGATACACACTACTGCAACTCATTGATCTTAGGGTTTTCAGTTGCATTGTGTTTATTTTATTTTATTTTTATAATTTAACGACTATAGCATCATCGCGCATATGCTGCAAACTTCAGTGGCAATACACAAAATCTTACAGCCTTTCTAATGTTCATTAAGCTTAAAGCAAATTCAACTTCAAGGACCTTATTTTACAAGAATAGTCATAATTTCTTAAAATAGTAAAATTATTAAGTTTTCTACAGATTAATCTCCTTCATGGAATTGCACTAACCAATTTATGAAAAGCACTTCCACCTTTTCTTTCATTTC